GTCAGTTAAAAAACCAGCTTAAACCAAAGCTCGTCCCACTGTAAACGAGCTCAAGCCGACTCGCAACCCTCGGCGGTTCAGGCCGCCTTCCGTGTCGTCAGCCTTCCGCGACCGACCAAGCCTCTGCATCGATCCGCCTTTCACGAGTGAGCTCCCACGCGCGCCGACCTTGTTACGCATGCCCGCCTCGTTCTGAGCTCCCACGCGAATTAGCAAGTGGGATTCAGAAATATGAAAACCTAAGAGGGAATATCAAGCGGTATTTTTAAATTAAATAAATAAATAAATTATTTAAAAAAAATTAAAAGAGATTCTAGCTGGCTCGTGAGCTCACGAGCCAAGCCTCATCAAGCTTGAACTTGAGCTCGTTCGAGTTTGAGCTTGAGCTCGTGGCTCGATAAGCTCGGCTAACGAGTCAAGCTTGAGCTAGTTTGCGAGCCAGTTCGGTTCACTTACACCCTACCTCCACCCCTTCAAACTGATTTTCCATACGATTTTTCATAGAAGAAAACCTTTCTTCCATAGTAGATAACTCCTCCACATCGGTTTTGAATTGCTCCATCTCGCCTTCCAACACCTCCACCTTCTTTGTTGTCATTTATGGATCTAGGTTCCAAAACATAAAAATCTGGAAAAAAAAACAAAAAAAAAACAAACAATATCTTCAAACTGCAAAAATCACCAAACTGGAAAGAGATAAGCAACAAAAATCAGCGAGGAGAACTACGATTGATATATTTATGAAACAATAGCAACTTATTTTTTTGTATCTTTAAGCTGCAATAATTCTTATCAATTTTAAACAATTTCACAATATGAGGCTCACCTTGAGGCCTGCCTCAAAGCAATTCCAGTGAAAAATGCCTCAAGGCTTACACCTCGAGTTTTTTTAATGAGGCTTGCGCCTCAACTTGGTTGAGGCCCGCTTGAGGCTTGGTTGAGGCCCGCTTGAGGCACACCTTGCCTTGCTGGCATAAGACTTACGACTCACCCAATTTATATATTTTTTTTATTTAAAACTTACATAAATCCTAAAGTAAATCCCCGAACAAATCACACATTCATGCACCCCCGAGTCGCAGCCACTTCCTCTCAACTACCTCAACCTCCAACCCACCACCTTCGCCACAGCCACCATCTTCATAGCCGCCATTGTAAAACCCGAAAACAACGATCGTAGGTCGTCACACGTATTTCGATGCATCGCTATGAAACTTAAGTGAAAAATTAAGGTTAACGAAATTTGACAAAAAATAATTTTATAAAATTCTACGTAAATTTCTGAACAATGATATATATAACCTATAGTTAATTATGTGTATTTTGGGAATTCTAAAATTTAGAAGTTTAAAAATACCAAATCTACCCCTAACATTTTCTAATGCCGGAATTGTTTAAGTGAGGGTATATGGGTCATTTGGCTTTTTCGCTTCTCCCTAATATAGCAAAACCGAACCACTCCCCCTCTCTTTTCATTTGGCCAAACCTAGTGGGAGCAGACAAAGGAGCGGATGGGTGAGGCGTCGGGCAAGGGCAACGGGCGAGGCTCCGACAACATTTTTCCGGCAAGAAAATTTGTGGAAATCGAAGAGGACGACGAGGGAAGTCTTAAGGTATGATTTATATAAAACGAATCTCTCTCAATCTCAATGGGAATTTAATTAAAGTTTTAGGAAAGAATTTTAGTTGACTTTTAACTTATGTGATTATTTAGGTTGTAATCTTTAAGGAGATCGAGGTGTGTCGAAGCGACACTTTGAGGAAGTATTGTTCTTGGGTTAAGGTAGGCACTCATATTATTTGTAAAAATTTTATATTTATGCTTTGTTCTTTTATTCAATGCAAATAGTTGAATCTTTTAAGTTATATAGTTTCCAAATTTTATTTCTGGCAAATAACATGTTCACGTCTTTTATTTCATAATGTTAATAAGCTTTCATATTATGTTTAGATTTAAGATTTTCATGTTTTAAACGAATGATTTTTTATTCACAATTATTCTCATAACGCATATAATTGACTGAACATAAATTATAAATTATAATATGAGAATGCGCATGATGATGCGGAGTGCCCAAATGATAAAGGGGTTTAAAAGAGCCGAATGGTAAAGGGGCTCGAAAGAGCTAAATGGTAAATGATGCTCGTTAGAGCCAACAATAAAGGAATGGCCAAATGATATGAAAATGTGTACTTGATCAGTACAAATTTTATGGGCACCTCCGAGATGGATGATATAATAGACATTATGCATAATATGGTTTATATATGTTTTATACGCAATATGAAAATTGATGTTTGTGAAAAAACATTAAGTGAAATGTTTCTTATAAGTAATGTTATGAACTTATGCAAGTTTGACCATCATTTAATGTTTTATTATGAAATGATATTTTATTTTAATTTTATGCAAATTTTTATGAAAAATATGAATTACCTACAGAGCGAGTAAGCTCACCCCTGCTTGTGAGATCTTTTTCAGGAGAATCATCTGAAAAGTAATAGCAACGAGACGACAGTACACATACCGTCGTAGAGGGCCTAAGGAAGAAAGGTTTTATGTTTTATGTTATGAGGTTGAGTACGATTGTTTGCTCCCGCCTCGTTTTCATGTTCTATTATAAAAGTTGTATGAAATTGTTATGATCTATATTATGGTGTTTTCAGTACGACTGTCTGCTCCCGCCCCGTTCATTCGGGCTAGCCGGGTCGGGTCGTGACAGACATCATGGATCACTTGAAAGCAGCACACTGCCACGCCCTGTTCTAAAAATTTTGGAGTATTAATCTCATTTTTATTTTGATGAAAAATATTTATAAAAGAGGAAGATGATTGAAATAAATGAAGAAGAAGCGTATTGGTAGGTATTGGACTCCATAGGATGAGAGAAGGGAGAGACCAATTTGTTATAATGATGACTCAAATAAAGAAACCCTCAGTGATGATAGTATAGAAGATTTTCTAGTTATTGTCAACTATTTCAACCTTTTTTCAATTATATATGAATGGGTAGGGAACTTTATGCATAATGTGATATGATATTTTTATGCAGTTTCTATATTTAATATTTTTTTTGCTCATGTAATATTTGTATTTCAACTATATGCTATGTAATTTATCACTTGTCACTTTACACATTATGCATTTTTTGCAATTTTATGCAATTTGGTATTTGATAGTTCAATAAAAAGTTAATATGTCATCTTTTAACATATTATTTGGATATTATATAAAAAATCACTTTTAACTTTTATTTGCACTTTATGTAATTTTTTAATTTTGAGACTCACGCCTCAAAACGCCTTGAGGTTTATGCATCGCCTCACGAACAAAAAAGCACCTCAATACCCAATTGCGCAATCTTAAACATAGGATGGAGAAGGGTTTGAGCATAAAAGAAAATCAAATGAAAATAGATAAGAATTATTTTATCATATGTTAAGACAGGATAATAGTACACGTTTTAGATATCTTGGATCTATTATTCAGAGTGATGGTAAAATTGATGAGGATATTATCAGTAGAATTCAAGTTGGATGGTTGAAGTGGAGGAATGCATCGGGCTTATTAAGCGATATAAAAGTCCCTCTCAAACTTAAGGGAAAATTCTATAAGATGGTGGTGCGACCTGCAATGTTTTATGGTGCCGAATGTTGGTCATTAAAAGAGAAGCATAATACTAAGTTAAGTGTTGCAAAGATAAGGATGCTTACGTGGATGAGTGGCTTGACCCTTAGAGATAGGATACGAAATGAGCATATACGTGAAAAGGTTGGAGTAGCTCCAGTGGAAGGTAAGATTAGAGAGAGTCGCCTTAGATGGTTTGATCACATTAAACGAAGGCCTTCCGATGACCCAGTTAGGAAAGTTGAGGTATTAAATTTGACTTATATTAAGAAAGGTAGAGGCAGACCTAAAAAGACTTGGTTAGAAAATATTAGAAATGATCTTTCTTTATTAGATTTAAATGAGAATTTGACTTTTAACCGAACACAATGGCGAAAAAGGATTCATGTAACCGAACCCACGTAGTGGGACAAAGGCTTGATGTTATTGTTGTTGTTGTATGTTAAGACAGGAAAAAAAATTTATAGGCACTTCAGTGATATTTAGATATTAGCTTATTAAGAAATTATAGTTCTTGAAGAACTGTGATATCTGCTTGACCGTATGTTCATGCCTCATTAACTTGAGCTTTCGGGTCAGATCGTGACAAACTAGGACTAACTCACCAACTTTGAAAGTCCTACGACAAACCAAATTTGCCATGAGCTTGAGCTATATTGGTTTTGTATAACTCAAGATTTTGTTGAGCTTCTAAACACTTCTCACCTAAACCATCAAGTTCTTTCAACCTAAATTAGACATTTTGATCGCTTGTAATTTCATTGTTGAGTACAATTCCGAGAGATGGTAGTTGTATCTCTAAAGAGTGAACAACCTGTTCCATAAACCAAAACAAATGAGGTACACGGAATTGAGGTCCTGTATATCATATGATAGGCCTACGTGGATTCTACAATATACATATTATAACATTGTGGTAGAGAAAAACAGTATAATACACTTATTTAACAAAATCTCATTATCCAGGACTGATAATCATGACCACCATTTTGAAAGTTTCCATAGTCGCATTTTCAAAGCATAAACCTTAGCAATTCAATTGTAATGTTAATTTCAACGTCAAGAAGAAAAAGTTTCTTCAGCAAAAATAAACTTTTAAATGGATAGGCATCAAACAAACATCACGTGAATGAAGTTAATTCTTCTAAATAACAGTAACTACTAAACCTAATAACCTGATGAACACTTTAAATGACTAATTAATTACAGTACGATAGAATTTAGAAAGATAGACACCAGTAAAAGCTAATCCAAATTTACTTCAGAGTATTACACTATATCTAGGAATAGAGAGTAGCCTGAACTTCCTTTCATTAACAACTCATAGCCAAGATTCACATGATAAGATGATAGAAAGACAAATAATGGTTACCTGCAACAATAGGCCAGTAACAAAGCCTTGCTGAAGTGGATGACCAAACGGAGATCCACCTAAAATTGCATCTCGTAACCGATCATTAAAGCTGAAATTTTTAAAAAGTTATCCAAAGAAAAAAGCTTTTAGAAACAGAATATTCACGCTAAGATTTAGACATGGATACGAGTCACTTTTTAGCCAACAAAATTTTCAGGCATTTTAATACATCAACCAAACTATGTTACGGCTGTTTTGTGCAATATATTTTACCTTTCATAAGCTACGCACATCAAGAATTATAAACTAAATAGTAGGGAAAACAGAAATACAAATCCTTTAGAATCTCCAAGATAGTAGCAACTCAGGATAAGTAAAAACAAATCTTGAAATTTTTTGCTTTCTCACAAGTTATCTAAAGGTTTTCGCTTGAGTAGATTTAAAACTAAATATATAGAGTACAATTTTAATAATAATAGACCTAGTGGGGGGATTGTGACTTTGGGCGATCAAGTCATTAATAAGAGTACATGTTTTAGATATCTTGGATCTATTGTTCAGAGTGGTGGTGAAATAGATGGGGATATTATCATTAGAATTCAAGTTGGATGGTTGCAGTGGAGGAATGCATCGGGCTTGTTGTGTGCTAGAAAAATGCCCCACAAACTTAAGGGAAAATTCTATAAGATGGTGATGAAACCTGCAATGCTTTATGCCACTGTGGTGAAAAATGTTGGTCATTAAAAGAGAAGCATAATACTAAGTTAAGTGTGGTAGAGATGAGGATGCTCAGGTGGATGAGTGGATTTATCCTAAGAGAAATGACAAGAAATGAGCATATACATGAAAAGGTTAGAGTAGCTCCAGTGGAAGATAAGATTAGAGAGAGTCGCCTTAGAAGGTTGGTCACATAAAACGTTAGCCTTCCGATGACCCTATTAGGAAAATAGAGGTATTAGATTTGACTTATATTAAGAAAGGTAGAGGTAGACCTAAAAAGACTTGATTAGAAAATATTAGAAATGATCTTTCTTTATTAGATTTAAATGAGAATTTGACTTTTAACAGGATCAATGGAGAAAAAGGATTTATGTAGCTGAACTCGAAACTGACCCGAACTATTCGGGTCGACCCGAACACGACCCGTTTTAGGAAACCAGTCAATTTTTCAAACCCGAACCCGACCCGCTCGAGTTCGAGACAACCCGACATGACCTGCGGACACGGCAAGCAGGTCAGCGCGGCGGGCAATCAGGTCAGCGCGGCATGCAGTAGGGACACGACGTGACGCTTGATGGATGAGGTGGGACAGCGGTGCGGGGACGCGATGCGATGCGGGTAGGCAGGTCAGCGCGGCGAGCAGGCGGGTCATTCTGGGTCATTTTTGGGTTTCTAAGTCAACCCAAACCCGACCCAATTTTACAAACGAGTTATAATCTTGAACCCGAACCCGACCCGATTCGGGGTTAACCTGAACTCGAAATTTTCGGGTTGGGTTCGAGTCGGGTTTTTGAGTCTTGACAAATATTGACACCCCTATCTCTAAATGTAAGCCACTCATCCACCTAAGCATCCTCATCTTTGTAAAACTTAAACTTAAATTTTACGCTTCACTTTTAATGGCCAACATCTACTCCATAAAGCATTGCAGGTCTCACCATCTTATAAAATTTTCCCATATGCTTGAGGGTTTCTTTTTATCACACAACAAGCCTAAATCATTCCTCAACTTCAACCATGAAACTTGAATTATATTAATAATATCCTCACCTATTTCATCACGGGTCGGGTTCGAGTCAAACTCGAAATTGACCCGACACTATTTGAGTCAACTCGAATCCGACCCGTTTTTGCAAACGGTTCAATTTTTCAGACCCGAACCAGACCCGCTTCGGGTCTGGGTCAACCAGACACGACCCGAATGACCCGGGACCGAACAAAATTTGCTAGTTTCCGATTAAAAACGGATCAATCTCCAATTTTCGGGTCAAAATGGGTCAAAAACAGGTCAATCTTGGGTTTTTGGGTCAAAAATGGGTCAATTTCGGGTTATTGGGTCAACTTAAACCTGACCTGATTTTTGAAACAAATCGATTTGCTGAACCCGACACGTTTAGGGTCCAGGTTGACCCTAACCCAAAATTTTTGGGTCAAGTTCGAGTCGGGTTTTCATGTCATGTCAAATATTGACACCCTTATCTAAAATGTACACTTTTTTTAATGACTTGATCACCCAACATCACAACATCACTAGATCTATTACTATTAAAATTACACTCTATGTATTTGGGTTTAGATCTACTCAAATGAAAACCTTTAAGTTTTAAGGTTGACATCCATAATTCAAATTTTACATCAACAACCTCTCTAGTCTTATCAACTTAAGAATATCATCAGCAAAATGCATACACCAAGGTACATCCTCTTGTACATGTTTTTAGTAAAAATATCAATGATGAAAGCAAAAATGATATGGACTTAAAGCTAATCATTGCTGTAAGCCAACTAAAATAGAAAAATATTTGGTCAAACCACATTGTGTTTAAGCACAAATAACAACTCATGTATACCTACCCTTAATGACTGGAGCATAAGAATTATTGACGCAGTCAAAAAATCGCAAAAAACATACAAACTGGGTCTACCTTTTAAAAATGACAAAATGCATATGACACATAAAGAAGCTTATAACATCAAGCATTTCAACACCATACAACTCTCATGACAAACATAAAACATTTAAAGAAGTTTTCTTTGTTTGAGAAGAAAGATACAAATGGTGTGATCACTTATGGAGAGAAGAAGTAGGTAAGAAGCCCGAGACGAAATCATAGAATAAGGGGAAGACGAAGAGGCATAGCTCGCAAGCTATTCAAAAAACCCTCAGGTTTTAGCTTCCAAAAAACACTCCATAACATCTTTTTTTATGCATCAATACAACCATTATTTATAGGTGAAATGAGGAAGCCAAACAGCCCAAGCCACCTCTAGCAGAACCAACCAGAAAAAGGGAAACAAAAGGCCAACATGCGGCTACAGAGCAGCACATGAAGGGACCACACGGGGGACAGGAGCGGGCAGCCACGGGGAACAGGAACAGGCAGCCACTGGACAGGAGCCAGGCGGGGAAACCGAAAGGCCGACAATGAAAGGAGAGAGGGGATGAACCTAAAGGCATTTATTACATCATAATCAGCTGAAATAAGAAGTAAAACACAGCAGCACACTAAAAGGGGCAGCATAACCCAAGACAACCAAGCCCAAACAAGGAACCAAATCAGCCAAAAACCAATGCACATCAATTGCCCCCCCCCCCCCTTGCCTACATCAAAATCTTCCCCGGTTGAAAGGGCTCATCTCTTGATGAGGATGCTTTAGAATTTTCCTGATGAGACGAATGCGCCGAATCCAAATGTAGAATCAAGACCGCATACTTCTTCAGGATCATTTCTCTTTCTTGCCTGAATTTGGCCTAGAGATTTCACTTTTTCTTCTCGCATTTTTTCGTACACAATTGCATCTTCATCTGAAGCTTGTATAATTCGTTTTGAAGTGGATCGGTAGAATCTACTTGGGAAGGAACCCAACCGTTGGTTGGAATTTGGAATTATGGATTTCCTGGCTGATTTTCACCCACAACTGACTCAATGTCTTCATGGTTTTCCTTTTTTTTAACATTTAAAAGAAAAAGAGGAAGACACGAAAAACCTAGAAATATTCTAACCTAGGCTCTGATACCAAATTGATGCAATCAAAAAATCGCAAAAAAAACATACAAACTAAGTCTTCCTTTTAAAAATGACAAAATACATATGACACCTAAAAAAGCTTATAACATAAAACATTTCAACACCATACAACTCTCATGACAAATATAAAACACCTAAAGAAGCTTTCTTTGTTTGAGAAGAAAGATACAAATGGGGTAGTCACTTGCGGAGAGAAGAAATAGATAAGAAGCCCGAGACGAAATCATAGAAGGGGAAGACAAAGAGGCATAGCTCGCAAGCTATCCGAAAAACCCTCAGGTTTTAGCATCCAAAAATTACTCCATATCATCCTTTTTTTTATGCATCAATACAACCATTATTTATAGGTGAAAAGAGGAAGCCAAACAGCCCCAACCACCTCCAGCCGAACCAACCAGAAAAAGGGAAACAAAAGGCCAACATGCGGCTCCAGGAGCAGCACTTGAAGGGACCACGCGGGGGACAGGAGCGAGCAGCCACGGGAAACAGGAACAGGCAGCCACGGGATAGGAGCCAGGCAGAGAAACCGAAAGGCTAACAGAGAGGGAGAGAGGGGATGAACCTAAAGGCATTTATTACATCATAATGAGCTGAAAGAAGAAGTAAAACACAGCAGCACACCAAAAGAGGCAAAATAACCCAAGACAACCAAGCCCAAACAATGAACCAAATCAGCCCAAAACCAAGGCACATCAATTGCCCCCCGCCCTGCCTACATTAGTTATTAACTCGTTTCTTTTCTTGAACTCTTTAGAGAACTTCTCTTAAAACTTTATCATATTTTTTCCCTAAATCAATAAATATCATATGCATATTTTCCTTACTCTCTCTATACTTCTCCATCATATCTCTTAACAAATGTGTAGCTTCCATAAGTAATGTATGCAATGAATGTGAAAAAAACATGAGGATGGATGAAATAATATGAAAGGATTTGAAAAAAAAAAATAAAGAAAAAACAACGACATGGCTTGAAGTTAGAAATGTTTGCACTAAGTAGAACCGATAGAACTTCTAGTAGTCAATAATAATGTGTGGAAGAAGAGCCAAAAAGCCTACCCCGATCACCAATCAAATAAGATTAGATTAATGATGATGATGTTTAACTGAAAGTACAAACTACTTGTCTTCACAACTTAAAACACGTAGCATTACAACTGCCAACACAGTCCATAAACATACTACTCAGTGATTTTATATCTTTTCCAGGAGAGGATAGAGATAAAATTGCAGACTTCCAATACATAATAATGTTTGGAGGCTCCAAGCATCATGCATGTAACAAACAATTAGAAAGATGAAAAAGAACGATAACATTTTACCTTCCAATGCCATTGCCAGTGATATTAAGTTGTGATGCATTTATTCCGCGTTTATTTTTAGCAACTTCTCCAAAGTCCCATCCTTCGCCATATCTATGAGAACAGGATAGGATATCTTAGTAGCACAATGATAGCGATAATTCTAATTGCTAAAAAATTTCAAAATTATGAAATCTACAGATTCCCTTACAAGTAAATCTTTGAACCATCTACTCCATCCACATCCTTGGTTAAGTTTTCTATGGCCGCTTTTGCCCTCAACTAATCTCAAAAGAAAACAATATAAGAAAAAGCTATAGCTAAGGCATAAAACATACAAGAAATGAAGATTCACTGGAGATGTATAATAAGCTTTATGCGTGATATGCTTCAATATCTATCCTAAAGTTGGCACAAACCAAACATGCAGTAAATTATTTAAATATTAAAACGTACTATATTTCCAAAACTAATAGCATTGGCTCACATAAAGATGTGAGTTAGACTGGAAGAATTTCTGAAGATTTAAATTGGTTTTGGCTAAGATTGACCTTGGATCATATGCCATCTAATAAGAGCAAAGTTGCATGCTTAAATAATACCATCCATCAACCCAATTGCATACTTAAACGGTTCAAATGAAACATCAGCTCACAACAGAAGATTGACAGAAGTTGATTAACAAATTTTACTTTTTTACCAAAACCTCTTACTGTCGTCAATTAGATAAATGTTGAGTGACATCAACTGAGGAAGAAGAGGATTTGCAATGAGCACGACAATTAGCCTAGGGGCATGAACAGGGGACTTGTAACAAACACACAACTTGCATACGGAAATGAACAAGAGGACTCGTAATGCACACAACAGCCTGCCTTTGGATATTACCAGGGGACCTGATATGAATATGATAGCTTGCCTACGCACGAACAAGAACTTTTAATGCGCACACAGCCTTCCTATGAGCAATAATAGGAAACCTTTAACGAACACTATAGCTCACCTATGACCATATATACGAGTCTTGTACCAAACATAGTAACGGACTTATGAGCAAAAGCAGGGTCCCCTAACTAACAGAATATATGAACCCTCTAATTACAAAAGATATTGTAAATAGTCGATCCTACTCGCCTTCAATAAACACCACTAAATATGCAACATACACACAAACAGACAGAAGGCGAACCCAAGGCCTTAAAATGAAAAGTTGCGCACATTTCAATGACAAATCCTTCTGCAAAACAATCAAACTTAAATATTTTAAAATCTCACATATATTAAAATACAATTTTGATAACCAAAGTATATTGCCTCAAGAAGTGTGTCCCGTCTCCAGAAGTGCACAACAACCTCGGGAAGAATATGATAGCCCCCAGAAGAGTGTCACCACCTCAAGAAGTGAGTCACAACCTTGAGAAATGTGCAACAACCCAACAATGAGCACTCATTGAAAAGTGTACCTAGTACGAAAAACAAATGCACCAAAATATGTGCAAGTGCATTGCACAATCTCACTGAAATACATGTCAATATGTTAAAAGAATACATATACACCATGCAAGTGCTCCGAAAAATGTGCCAACGCATGGAGCAAAGGCATTGAAAAGCATGCATGTTAATTTAGAAGAAAATTCTAACCACGTGCATGTGCTCCGACAATTATTTTAAATTCTAAACTCAAAGTCCAAGAATGTTGTGCATGGTTAAAGATCAATCTAAGCTTCAAGTCCTGTCATCCTCCTTAAAAAGAACTAGAGTTGACACAAATTGGATCAACAACTGAACATAAAATCAACCGAGATATTTATTTTAAAGTTCATATTAGGCCTTCAAAGGATCTTTGAATGATCCTCATCATAAAAATATAAACTCTTGATTTTTTAGCTATAGTACGATAACTCACGAGACTAGTCATTGAACCCGATCGTTTGTTAGCGGGTCTACAGAATCGACAAGGTTCGAATAATGAAATGAGATCTCTTAAAATCCTTGATGATGACCATATTGAAAGTGAATCTCACGAGTAGTCATTGAACCTGATCGTTTGTTAGCGGGTCTACAGAATCGACAAGGTTCGAATAATGATTTTTTAGCTATAGTACGATAACTCACGAGATTAGTCATTGAACCCGATCGTTTGTTAGCGGGTCTACAGAATCGACAAGGTTAGAATAATGAAATGAGATCTCTTAAAATCCTTAATGATGACCCTATTGAAAGTGAATCTCAACCGGAGAGAATCATATCATCAAAATGCAATATACACTCAAATCGAACCTAATCCCCTATTGGTAGGCCAATAGAATTGATAAGGTTTAAATAACCAAAATACATTGATTCACATTGAACACAATACTTTCCTAGCAAATGAGCAAAATTGACAAGGTTTAGATAACAGAAATATAAAGTATCTGAGTGATGCATGACTTAAATGCCTAGGCGATGTTAATTAAGAATTTTGCAAGCTTTAATTTAGAGAGCAATATTAACTAAAAGACTTGTAGTGATTTATACAACGAAATAAAACAAGAAAGGGGTGAAACTAGCTTGGGTCGAGTCACACAATTAGAAGTTAAGATCACAAAATAATCAATTACTTGAGCATAACATACATGGAAGGTTTTCAACGATTAGTTCCTAAGTTAACAATGAGACTAGTCACTATGAAAATAGACCCCTCACTCAACTCTCTATATTACTAGGCTTAGCGAAGAGAGTTAACGCAACCTTTATGAATCAACTAAGACCACAAGTTAAGGTAAGACTTAGAAAGGAAAAGATTTTGGGAAGAGATTCACCTTTATCAGAGTGTGGAACTTCGAGACAGCAATTAGTGGATTTTTGGAGAGCAGGAAAGCAACTCTTCTTGCTGGAATTCCTAGACAGCAATCCAGTAATGTCCAGAAAAGTCTGGACAGCAAACGGTGTCATTCCGGAGGGCTGGACAGCAAAACTCCTCGCTGAAAAGTTCAGGGCAGCAATCCCAGAGATGGCCAGAAACCTGGACAGCACTTGTAGGGAGGCTAGGAGCTCTTAGTTAGCAGGTAGTCGCCTTTGGAGGTTCAGGAAAGCAAGTCGTTCTCACTGAAATTCCTGGACAGCACTCAGAAATGTCAGAAAAGAAAGGAAATCGTGAGGGGGAGGCCTGGGGTAAAGGCGGCTAAGGTTGAGAAGAGTTAAGGGGGAAGAGATTTGTGAGTTTAGTGGAGCAATTTAATTAGAAAGGAGAGAGGGAGAGGGGCAGCTGGGCTTGGAGGGGAATTAGGGGATTGATTGGAGAGTTTAATTGGGGGGAATTAATTAGATAGGAGAGAGGAAGAGAGGAGGGGGCGGCAGCCCTTGATTGGGTTTGATTGGCTAATTAATTGAGGGAATTAATGTTAGTAGTAATAGATCTAGTGGGGGGTTTGTGACTTTAAGCAATCAAGTCATTAATAAGAGTACTCATTTTAGATATCTTGGGTCTATTGTTCAAAGTGATAGTGAAATAGATGGCGATATTATTAGTAGAATTCCAGTTGGTTGGTTGAAATGGAGGAATGCATCGGACTTGTCATGTGATAGAAAAGTACCATTCAAACTTAACGGAAAATTCTATAAGATGGTGGTGAGACCTGTAATGCTTTATGGTGCAGAATGTTGGCATTTAAAAGAGAAGCATAATATTAAGTTAAAGTGTCGCAGATATGAGGATGATCAGGTGGATCAGTGGCTTTACCCTTAGAGATAGGATACAAAATGAGCATATACGTGAAAAGGTTTCAGTAGCTCCAATGGCAGATAAGATTAGAGAGAGTCATCTTAGATAGTTTGGTCACATAAAACGGCGGCCTTTCGATGACCCGGCTAGGAAAGTAGATGTATAGACTTGGCCAATGTTAAGAAATGTAGAGATAAGACCTAAAAAGACTTGGTTAGAAAATATTAAAAATGACCTTTCTTTTTTAGATTTAAATGAGATTTTGACTCTTAACAGGACATAATGGAGAAAAAGGATTCATGCAGCTGACCCCAAATAGTGGGACAAAGGCTTGATGTTGTTGTTACAAAGTTTTTCTTTGTGAATAGTTTTAAAAAAAAAAAATCATTTTTAAGCAGTCTGACAGTAATTGCTTGAGTCTTCAACTATAAAAATTGGTTGATCAGGATCATTAAACAGTTTGATCGATTCTTCTTTCTATTAGAGAAGTTAAAGATTAACAAGCCGACTATTCACACTAGCTTGTTCAACTTTCAAAATAATGACCTCATTAGCAAGATTATTAATTTCTTGTTTTAGATCATTCACAGAAGGGTGTTTTTTAAATAATCTTCTATGAACTTTTTTCACATCCAGTAACTTGTTTGTGAATAGTTCTAACAGTAATTACTTTCAGTCTGAATCTTAATTAAAAGACATTTCTTCTAAGGATTCAGAGTTGGATAGATGATAGGACAGAATTAAGTAAAAACCTCATTAAAGTTTTATTGAACCCTTAATCCATGTTTAACTCGTTATCTTTCACAATTCAACTCTTAGCATAATGATAAATTCTACCACAATTGCAGCATTTTATATCAGCCTATTTTTTTCTTTTTGGCTGATGAGATTCTTCTTGGTCAAGTTTTTTCATTTTTTTTATTTATATAAATGTCATCTTCATTCATTTTAATTAGTGCATAATTTTGGAGGACCTTCATAAACAAATTGTTCGCCCAAACCTCTTAAATGTCATTGTTCATTTAGACTCTCTCTCTTAAACTAATATCTAAGTTTAATATCACCACCAATATCAAGGCCTTCTTGAATGCAATTTTTCATAAGAATTTTTTCATAGGGAATAATTCCACTGTGAAGATCATGAAGATTCTTTTCCCGTGATTAGCCAAAAGGCTAGATAAACCTCCAATGATTTTATTCTTTCCAATGACTGTTATCAGTATGTGGAAGACAAAGACCACAAAAAAACAAATTTTTGTACTAAAGAAAATGTGTTAACATTGGACAACAAAGTTTTTAATAGAGAATAGATTCGCTCTCCTTGTTCTGGAATAGTAGTAAAATGCTCTAATATGTCAATAACTAGAGCATAAATGGCATCGGCACTAGACCCACTATGAGAAGAAGAAATGTTGGGATGAGATACATCACCAGTTTTAATTTTGTTTTAAAAATGAATGCCCTTTGTTGAGTATTTGTCTTAGATTATCTAATGTGTCCAATTAGCCTCTTAACTCTTCAAATCTGATCTAAAGCAATCCAATAGAGAGACTTTTTATCGTATTCAAGAAATCAAATAAATAAATTGAACATTTTAAATAGTTGGGACTATAATAATAAAATAAGTCTGAGGGCTATTTTGACAGTTTCTTGTCCTTAAAACACATACAAAATCACAAGTGATCATTTGGGCAATTTATGAGGGTTGTATTATTACAAAAACAAGCTGTGATAGCATAGATTAACATATGGTATAACATATCTTGGTTTTATTTTTCAGAATATCCATCAATATTACATTCATAAATATAATTATCATCATAATCATTTTGGTCCCGATGGTCATTTTCCTCATAGAGAATATTGCCTAAACTCCCCGTTACTAAACCAGAGAAGGCTTTCCTCGGTTATACATGAATTACAAAACAAGCACGGACCTTTGGTTTCAGTACAGACCTAATGTATTTAACTGTAGTTTTGCAGTATGGAACGTGAAGAACTATCTCAGCCCCAACCGAACCACTTTTCTCTCTTCCACCTCATCTCCAAAACTCCAAATTTATGCAGGAAGGAGAGGAAACAAATATATATATATATATATATATATATATATATATATAGCTCTTTCTTCTATTTAGGTTGTGTACATAGGATCCCTACCTTCTATATCAGGGTTGGAGTGAGACTACCCTGATATAGAAGGTAGGGATCCTATGTACACAACCTAAATAGAAGAAAGAGCTATCAAATGCCACAACTAATGGAAGCATTCACCAACTATAAGTAAATAATATTAAGGTTAACTGCAGCCCTTATTTATAGGAGAAAACTTGGGGAAAAAAAGACAGTATACTCCTACTAAACTCGATAAAGAAACTAAGGAAATAGTAAGACCAAAAGTATTGAATAAATACACTATTACATCAAATTCCTAATGAAAGCACGACATAACTAAGAAAATAAATCAAGGAATGATTAAAATTATGTAACTTTTCGACTAACAACCTGTGTTAATGTTGAACGGCCTGCATCCAAAACTAAATAGCCAACTCATGACAAGACCAAAAAAATACTCAGCATATGTATTAATTAGGAAAGGGGGGATTCTTCAATTTACTATGAAACATCAAATTCCAAACAGCAGGATGTGCTGCAGCGTTAACATGAGATTAAATGGTATGCAATGCTATCATGAGCATTACTTAAGTTTTTTTTTTTTTAGCATTAAATAAGGTAAATAAAAAACGAACAGTTAAATAGGGTTTCAAATCTAATCAAGAGGACATTCACAAATGAAAGCACATAAACGCATGAAACAACTTCACAGCTAAAGATAGTAAACAACGCTGACTTTGGATGACTTAGTTCCTGCAGTTGATATCAAGGAACATATAAAAAACAGGCTAATGCCAGAATTTAATTTAATAAAAGCGGACAACAAGAGCTCAAAGAAGAATACCATGGTACCCTTCATTAGGTGCCCCATCAGATCAAAACGAAACCCATCAACCTGCAGCGAAACAGCCAGACATAATAACAATAAGGCTTCTAAATTGCATCTTGCATAATGATGCTATTTGACAAACACAATTAAACTTCTAAGTATAGGAAACCATGCTAAACAAAATTTAAATGCATAGACTAAAATTATTTGAGATTTCATGTTTATTTGAATATTAGGTCCTCGGGTGAATTGCATTGGCTTGTAAACCATGGGCGCATTAAGATAAAAAAAACACTTTACATAAATTTATTATTAATCAAACTTAATGTCATGCTTCAACATAAATTACACAAATGTAAGCCTAAACAGTGATAAAAGATAAAATTCAATGTATCAAATTACGAATTCAGTAATTGTTTTCTGAATTACAGGTTCAAAAAGATAACAAATAGATGTCAAAAATGTCAAATAAATATTAGTTATCAAAAAATGACAAAAGCATAATAGATGGGAAAAATAAAGCTGCAAAAATGTTCTAATAAGGTTTTGTTAGACCTGTCCAAGGAGCCGTCCCCAGGTTTATACCAAGTGGAGCCAGCAAGCAGCCCGCCCCCTTGTGGGGCCCACTATTTCAAGATTTTAAGAAGGGGGGAGGCGGTTTAGGAGGGAAAATTCAAAGTAAAGGGTTGTTTAGGGATTTCAATGTTTGTTGTTTTATTTAGGGATTATTTTCCCTAGGATTAGGGTTATCTATGTTTCGTTGAATTTGGGAGTTCTCTTAGGTTTTCTTGGGCTGCAAAAATGTTCTAAAAAGGTTTTTGTTAGACTGGTCCAAGGAGCCGGCCCTTGATTTATACAAAGTGGAGCCAGCAAGCAACCCACCCCCTTGTGGGGCCCACTATTTGAAGATTTTAAGAAGGGGGAGGCGGTAGGAGGGAAAATTCAAAGTAAATGGTTGTTTAGGGATTTCAATATTTGTTGTTTTGTTTAGGGATTATTTTCCCTAGGGTTAGGGTATCTATGTTTTGTTGAATTTGGGAGTTCTCTTAGGTTTGCTTGGGCTCTAATCGTCGGATAGGGATTGGGAGAGAATGATCTTCCTCTCGACATGAAGATCCATTGTATCTTTTTTGTTTTCTTACAAATTTCATCAATTTCAAGGCTTTTCAAGTATTTTCCACAAGACTTTCTAATTCAGATTTCCACATGTTGAAATTCCATTTTAACCAACAAATTATTCAATTTTTGCACTTATGATCTATCAAATTGGTATCAGAGCAGCGCTTCAGGGTTCCTATGGCCGGAATAAAATATTGAAGTATTAGAAGGGGAGATGAGACAATTAAAATCAGATTTTGTGGAGAAAATTTTGGAATTTGAAAATTAATTTTCAGCCATCTATGAAAGATAGATGGGAAGTTCTCTGTCATGGAAGAAATGTTGAAGAAGTTACTTGAAGTTAAACCCAAGACGATGTCATCGGAGGCGAAGGGAGTCACCGACAGTCAAGAAAGTAGTAGAAACCCAAATCCGATAAGGAGAGGGGAAAATCAAGAGGAAGAGATTTTAGAGAGATAAGATGGGATGGCTCTCCTAGAACCTATTTCTAGCGAGACGATGAGTAGTAGGTTCGAACAAATGGGTGTTGATTTTGCAAGAAGGGAGCTGATTTTGAGCGTAGGGTTGATGATATGGAAAGAAGAAAGGGGGATTTTGAAGAAAGGTTTGGGTACGAGCACAAAAGAGATGATCGGGACACTTGGGGAGGTCCACCAATTTGTGGGATGGGAAGGTTATGGAGGATTAGGGGAAACGAAAACGATCCGAAGGTGAGGAAGTTGAAGATGCCCATCTTTGAGAGAGATGATGCACATGGGTGGATCTACAATGTAGAGATGTATTTTCCGTCAATGAATTGACGAAGAACTAGAGATTGACGGCAGTAGGCCTATGTTTAGAGGGAAAGGCGTTGTCCTGGTACCAGCGGAGAGACATGAGCAGTTCTTTGCAATGACATAGGAAGGTTCTATGGTGGAGTACTGTGAGAGATTTGAGTGCCTAGCTAGTCAGCTGAACTGACTATCTGAGTATGTGTTGGAGGGGAACTTCACGAAGAGGCTCAAACCACATATCCGGGCGGCCATGAAAGTGATGAGGCATCATGACTTGGGAAAGGCTATGGAGTCAACACAGTTGGTGGTGAACTAGAAGCACCTAGAGAGGAGGCCAGGGGCAGCCGCTCAGGAAGCTCATACAGGATGACCACCATATTTTTGGCACCTAGGGGACCGCCAATGGGGGTTCCTCGGGAGACCCCAAAGGAGAAGCCTACAGAAGGGGGAAACTTCAAGAAGTTCACTGAGAAGGAGCTACAGAAGAAGAGATAGAAGGGACTATGCTTCAGGTGTGATGAGAGGTATACCGCGAGGCATAGGTGTAAGGATCGAATTCTTCATATTCTCACCATCTGTGATGACGAGAAAGCTGAGGAGGGAGAGGACAAGGGGGAATTGGTAGAGGAGGAGGAAGGGCTGCATCTAGACATGGTGGTCTCCTTGAACTCATTTGTGGGATTTACTCCAAATCACACCATGAAACTGAAAGGATAAATAGTATACAGGGAGATGGTGGTACAGATAGAAAGTGGGGATACTCACAATTTCATCTCCAACCAGGTCATAGACCACTTGGAGATGAAATTGGTGGACACAGAGGTTACGGGGTAATGATGGGCACTGGGAAGGTGGAGACAGGTAGAGGAGTGTGTAGGGGAGTGGTGCTGACTAAACAGGGGGTTCATATGAGGAGAGAATTTCTCCCATTAGAGTTAGGAAGCACTAATATCATCATAGGGATGAAGTTGTTGCAGACCTTGGGAGATACCAAGGTCAATTGGGGAGCACTAACGATGGAGCTGGTGGTGGAAAGAAGAAGGGAGGTGATTAGAGGAGATGCAAGGTTGACCAAATCCATGGTGTCTCTCAAAACCATGATTAAGGATCATACAAGAGGTGGGAGGATTTCTGGTGAAACTACAGAGCTTGGAAGGGATCAGATTAAAGGAAGGGGGGAACATTCCTCTTTCAGTACATCCACTCATCATACAGTAGTTAAGAGAGTCCTTTCAACCACCTCAAGGCTTACCAACACCAAGAGAGTCAGAGCATGCCATCACCCTAAGGGAGGGCCTCCGATTAGTGTATGATCGTATCGCTACCCTCATATTCAAAAGGCCGAGATTGAGAAGTTGATCCAGGAGATGTTGGAGGCGGGGATCATCAGGTCGAGTGTGAGTCCTTTTTCTAACCCAGTATTGACGGTCAAGAAGAATGATGGGAGCTAAAGATTTTGTATTGATTATCGAGCCCTGAATAAAAAGATTGTGCCAAACAAGTTTTCTATATCGGTGATTAATGAGCCATTGGATGAGTTGTGTGGAGCAGTGGTGTTCACCAAGATGGATCAGAATTCGGGATATCATCAGATCAGGATAAGGAAGGAGGATGTCCCGAAGACTGCTTTCAGGATGCATGAGGGGCATTACAAGTTCTTAATGATGTCATTCGGCCTCACAAATGCCCATGCTACCTTCCAGTCCCTGATAGGAGGTATTCCAACCATACCTCCGAAAGTTTGTACTGATCTTCTTTGATAACATCCTAGGGTACAGCAGGTCCGAGGAAGAACATTTGAAATACTTGAGTTGAGGGTGGTCTTAGGATTTTTACAGAACCAGCTGCTGAGGGTCAACCTGAAGAAATGTTGTTTTGCACATATCAGTGTGGAGCAACTGAGGCACATGGTATTAAGGGTGTCAAAATGGGTCGTCAGGTCGGGTTTAGGTCCAACCCAAACTTGACCGATTGGCAGCTGACCCAACCCTAACCCGATCTAGTTTTGAAAACGGGTCAGCAATCCGAACTAGAACCAAACCTGGTTCAGGTTGGGTCAACCAAAAATAACACGCCAACCCGTTTTTTCCTCTCAATTTTTGGCATTTTTTGTTATTTCAGATTTATTTAAGTAATTCAATTAAACTGCAAAAAAACTAAAATACATATAATGATTTGACTATTTAAGCAACTATAAATGAAAACAAATTACATTTACAAAATACTAACACTAATTGTCAAAATACAAATTATATTTATAAAAAAATAATGCAAAACACAAATTACATTTACTAAATACTAATATACATTACATTTGCACGGCTATACTAAATTCAGAAACATTTTTTCCTGATAAGTTAACTTTGGGTGTCCTAGGTCACAATGATAAAGTCAAACATCATTATAATTATTTAGGAATCGAAGTCGAGGTTTTAATGGATTGATTGGATTCACAACCAATTGAGTTAACTCATAACCTACTTGAGGAATCATTGTTTAGCAAGTCAATTTCATAACACATCTCTGTACTTTCAATCATTGTACCTTAGTTCAAGTCCTTAGAGTTAAACATATTACATAAGAAATTAGCAACATAATTAAATCTCGAGTGAGTTTGTTGATTGATAATACGATGCAATATAGGTTATTCACTATAAACATAAGAGTACAGCATTAGATCATTTGAGCGAATGAAAAAAATCATTATGACCACTTTTGATAATGACTCGTCTACAATTAGGACATTATAATTTTGATGGCATTGATTATAATTGTGGAAGACATTTTATCTTCTTATCATTTGATCTAGAACTCTCAAGTCTATTAAGTAGAAATTCTTCATCTTTGTAAAGAGGGTATCAAAAAATTTATCTTTTTAGCAACCAAACTTATTCCAATAATATTTTAGAATAAGCTTTTGCTAGGAGAATAGCTAGTTATCTTTGATTTACTGTCTAGATGGATGAAACAAGGAGAGAGTTGTTGTAATTTGTCTTTGCTGCAAATCTTTTTGGAATTTTCCAATCCATTATTTAATCATAGATTTTCAATATTTTGGATTTGGATATTCCATTTTGAAGTTAATTTCCAACATTGAAGTTGCCACTATTTGCTTCATGGTAGTTTCCATTTCCTTGTTTCCATGAGGATCATTCCATAGGCTTTCGCAAATTTTGTTGGACAAAAATTGGGTTTTAGTGATGGTGAATGACATAACAGCATGCAAGAGAGACACCAGCTTGAAGGACCATTTCGCCTCACTAGTAGTAAAACTTTAAGGTTTCTAACATCATCTTGAATATTAGAATGAGAAGAGAGAAGAGTAAAAAAATGAAAAATTGGATGACTAAAGTTTATTCCCTCATTCAATATAAAAAAATAAGATACGAAGTTTTACAAAAATAGATAGATAAATAAATATCAATAAATCAAATAAATCTAGAAATCAGTATTTAATTATATAAGCCACAATTAACCATGCGACAGAAATGGAATAAATCTATAAATCAGAATTTAATTATGTATCCACAATTAACTATGCAACAGAAATGGAATGTAATCCATAGATTACTGTATTTTAAAAATGACAAGATGCAAAGGTGTTGGCCATGAATTCAAAATTATTTCAACACATTTGGTAGCATAAATGTTTCCTAAGGATATACATTTCATTACTGGATCCAAGAATCGTAAAAAGGAACAAAAACAAAGTAACTTGGAAGTACCTTATAAGCAGTTGCCCAGTATAAAAGATCATCGATAATCAAACGCTCCACCATGAAGTGCTCACTAGCTGTATTGTTCATGCATGTGCTATGCTCAATGCACCCTTCAATAGTCCTTCGAAGATAGTATCCTGGAACCACCTGTAATTATTAGAAGTTATGGGACATTATAGATAAATATAGCATACTTCGACCAAAATCATCTAATAGAACTCATTAACTATTTTGTTATGATAAAAAATAAAAATAAAAACCATTATATCTCACTCATCTAGTATGCCTACTTGCGCCATTTCAACTGTTGAACCCCATTTTCTACATATATTTATTGCATTACCTTTTTTTCCTACAAAAAGCTACTTAAGAACCTCAATTGCTAACCTTTAGATGATATTCCAATTCAGTGCTCCAATAAGTACCAAATCTATTTTGCTACATTTTTTTCATCACTTCTAAAATACTACCATTGGTGTACCATTCCTTGCCTAATCCATCCCCATTAGTTTTAAACACCTCATTAGTGTGCATCTTCCAACCTCCATTATACATTACCAAATCATTTAAGTTTATTTTACAAAAAATATTTATACTGTTTGTCTATCATTTCTCTCCTAATACATCCACATTAATTTTAGTTGTCCTAAGCTCCATTATATATGTTCAAAACATCTAAGTTTTTTTATTAAAGAATAAAGATAGCATCTTAAAAAATAAATAAATAAATAAAGGATTTTATATGCAGAACCTGCATATACAACATCCATCTTCAATATAGAGAAAAATGTAAATTAAACGAAATGAGACATTTTTGTATGCCATATAAGCTTTTCAAATAAGTTCCTATGCATTTTCACATTCAGAAAAATGTCAAGAAAAATGCAATAATTTTTTTTTTTTTTTTTTTTTTTTTTTTTTTTTTTTTTTTTTTGGTATAAGAAAGTTGTATTATCATAAACGACAATATCACTTCTATCAATAAACTCAGTTCTCCTCAGTAAGCTCAAGGAAGAGACGCACGCCACAACTTGTTGGTACTCATTCTTAAAACATGGCTTATGCATTGACAAACATATCCACCAACGTAAATATAACTCAATAAAGTATAATTTAGATGTTTCAACTACTGATTCGTTGGTGTCTAGGGCAACAGTTTCCAAAAATCAAATAGGTTAAAATCATTCATCAATTTCTAACAGTGAAATCAACAAAAAAAAAATATAGCTAATACAATGTAATGAGATGATTCATTTAAGAGCATAAAAACAAAGCTTATACATTGACCTTATCAAGAATGGAGGTCTCATCTAGGGGACCACTAGCATGAACGTGATTGTAGACGACATCCAACACAACACGAAGACCAATGTGATTAAGAGCCTGAAAGCTAATACAACTATTAGAACAAATTAGATACACCATTTGATTAGACATCATAAAGAATAAGATTTACCTGAATCATCTTTCGAAATTCCAAAATACGACAAGGCCCGTTAGGGTTACTAGCATAGCTGCCCTTTGGAACTCCCCAAAGCACAGGATTGTACCTATCTTTTCAAGTCATTTACATAAGAATACATTCCAATTCAAAAAAAAAATTTGTGAAAGTAGAGGTCAGATACTCACGAGGAAAGTGAGACAATTGAATTTATGCAATATGGACACTATATCACTTTCGTCAAAACCAACATTCACATAGAAAACATAATTAAAATAAAGATTTTAAACCACTCAATAAGATTTTTAGCCCCATCATAACTTTCATACCAAGCTTTATCAGGCATTCTTAAGGGTACATTTGCATTATAGTGTTTGATCGTACATGTAGAAATTGATGCATGAGATTGTATATATATGTCAATTAACGAATTGTTTCCATCGATGAGAATGCATCTTCCAACTGAATCGACCATTCAGTTTGTCTGATTAAGATCAACTTTTTAATACATTTATTATGCATAGGTAAATTAACTAGATAAACCTGGCTTATTTGTTAACGGAAATTTATAGGAATTGTATTCATTTCCATTTTTAGTGTCATTTCCTTTTACAAGATTTCTTTGATTAAGTACCCTTAGAAGATTCTGCGTTTTCTATTTAAGCTTTCATAAATACTATTAGGGGTGTCAAAATGGGTCAATAGGTCGAGTTCGATTCCAACCCGAATTGATCCGGGTCCAAACGAGTAGACTTTAACCCGACCCATTTTTGCAAATGGGTCAAGAATCCCAACTCGGACCCGACCTGCACGGGTTACCAGGTTGACCGACCCGATCCGTGAACCCATATTGTGGTCTACAGACACGCTCCTGAGCGCAGTGAAGGTTCGGTTCAGAAGCCCGATGTGACATGCGAGCAGATCTGGAGACTCCGGATTACGGACAAGACTCACGAGGCGAATAGAGCATGCAAGCGACCTAAGGGCGGTGTGCGGGGGCAAGGTTGTGCGCAGGCCGAGCGCGGCTGACGGCTTGAGCAAATGGGGGAGCGGTCGACGGGCCAAGCAGATATGAAGTTCGGATGCGGTCACACTAGGTGAAGTGGCAAAGTCAAACCGAGCGCACCAGCGATGCAGGGTCGTGTGCGGGTTACTGGGTCCGCATGCTGGGTGACTGGCGAGTCAACACAGGTTGATTTCGGGTTTTCGGGTCAACCCGAACCAGACCCAATTTTGTAAATTAGTCGGAATCTCAAACCCGAATCTGATCCGTATGGAAAACGGGTTGACCCGAATCCAGAATTTTCTTGGTCAAGTCCAGGTCAGGTTTTGGGTCGGATCAAATTTTGACACCCTTAAATATTGTCATGTGATTTTAAGTTATAATTTGATGCTCTCCTTCTCCTGAAAAAGAACTTTCATGATAAATAAAACATAATGCTTAGTTAAATTTTTACGCTGAATGCATCTTCGAGTTCAAAAATAGAAATAGCTAAAAGTGTTCTACTACCCAAGCAAAGAGCGCAAGGAGGGCTTACAAGGAGGTCCAACTTTGGGGTTATTCAAGGCCAAGTAACATAGGCCGCGTTTGTTTTTCCTAATTTATGCCGTTTCCGTTTTGCATCCGTGGAAACAGTTCCTTTCCCTCGTTTGGTTAGCTTCCGTTTGTAAAATAACTTATGCAACTTCTCCGTATTAATACCGATCTCAAAAGTAAAAAAAGGCAGCAGTTTGCGTCCAATAACTGAGTTTTGAGAGGAATAAACCGAAAATACCCTGCACTTTCCCACATCGCCCTCACGTCCCTCTTCAGCGATTTTCTCTTCCTCCTCATTTCTTCCTTCTCATTTCTTCTTCCATGTTTTGCAGTGCCCTCCCCCATTTCTGCTCTAATTCAAACCGAACAGGTTTGTCGACCTTGCTTCCATTTCAACCCTTCTCCATTTCGTCGATTCTAGGCAGCAAACAGGTATGTCGACCTTCCTTCTTAATTACTGTGCAAAAAAAAATTCGTGGATACATTCCTATGAACAGAATCCTTAAGTGTTCTCCGTTAATCTTCCAAAAACTATGTCAACAGTACACATTTGTAAACAAATATTATTTTAATTACTTAATATCTGAGTTATCAGTTTAATTTAATACCAAATTACCATGTAAGCACTACATTTAATACCTGAGTTATCAGTTTAATTTTGATGTCTAAACTAAAAATTTATAATTATCTTGCACAACTATAAAACAAAATTTCCTTCGTTTTAATTATATAAAAATATTTGTAAATTTTTATAATTTTTAGTATATATTTATTATGTATTTTTTATCTCTAAGATGTTGGAATCTGTAGATGGCGAAACAAAGAAAATGTGGTCCACCTACGACATGGGATATCAATAACACATTACTTTATTGTGACTTATGTATAGAAGAAATTGAATTGGGTAATAGACCTTCCACCCATTTCAATAAGGAAGGTCGGACAAACCTTATGACAAAATTTAATTCACGCACTGGAAGATCGTATGATCGTACACAACTAAAGAATAAGTGGGATCATTTGAAAAAGGATTGGAAGTTGTGGAAAGAGTTGTTGCGTGGGGAGACTGGATTAGGGTGGAATCCAATAAAACGAACCATAGATGCTTCTAATGAATGGTGGAATGATAAAATATAGGTATTACTAAGTAAAAAATTTAAAATACATTCATATCACATGATAATCTATGTAGGTTTAATACATAAATGTTTTCACTTATGTAGGTCATACCTACAGCAAGAAAGTTTAGGTTCAACGGAATACCACCAGAACTCGAACAAAAACTTGAAATTATGTTCAGTCGCATTGTCGCAACTGGAAATAATGTATGGATTCCAAACTCTGGGGTTTTACCCTCCGAAGTAAGTAACGACCATCACAATTCATCCGAGGAAAAGGACTTCCAAGATGATGACCCACATACGGAAGTAGGTCACGAAGAAGATGCTATATTTCCAACAGCTTTCCAAAGATCTCAAACTTCAACCACATTACTAAAAAGGAAGAGAGTTAAACCAGTTAGGTTAGCAGGGAAGCAACTATTTCTAAATCATATTGAAAGTTTAGTTAAAGCTGCGGAATCAGTAAGCTCTACTATAGCAACCTCAACGTCACAGCGTAGAACTGTTACAATACTTGATGCGGTCGCAGAGATATCAGCCATACCTGAAATATATGAAGATTTGGAATTATATGCTTTTGCAAAAAAAGGATATCTGAAGCCTTACCCAGATACACGATATCATTTAGCAGATTTTGCTCGAGGAAGTCAACCAATAAGGGGTTACAGGGAAGTATTCAATAAGAGACATTCCTCATTACGAAGTATCATTGAGCGTACATTTGGTGTGTGGAAAAAAAATGGAGAATTCTACATGATATGCCAAATTACGCGTTGAAGAAACAATGTCAAATAGTTATAGGTACAATGACATTGCATAATTTTATACGAAGACATAACTCACAGGTCGATCCTGATTTTGATGAGTATGAGAGGGATGAAAACTTTGATATTTCTGACTGTAGTCTAGACAGAGTGCCAGAATCAGGTGAAGAAAATGTTTGAGTTGAAGAACAGACTGATGGTGAAGATGTTACTGAGATGAAAGAAGTTAGAGATAATATCGCGAAACAGTTGTACAACTTTAGTAGGTAGTATAGTTATCTTAATATTTGTTTTCAAAATTTAATATTATAGAAAAATCGTGTTGTTTGTTTTCTTTAATTATTAATTATGAAGTATGTAAGGACTAATAATTTTTTTGTATATATATTTCAGGTGTGTAGATGAGATATGATGATGAAAATGTAGAAGTTGAAGAAGATAACCTTGACAAACCTTATGAAGATTGAAGTTGCTTGTTAAATTTGTTAGAATTTGTGTTTGTGTGATTGAGAACAAAATGAGTTTTAAAAAATTAATGTTTTTTAAATGAATTAGTAGATGATGTGTGGTTATATTAAAAAGTTGATTCCTATTTACTCAAACTATATAGTTTAATGGTGTTCGTAATATTATCATATTTATAATAAGTATAATAGACATCGTAAAAAGTGTATTTCAAGAAAAAAAAAATTTTAAAACGTTTTGTTAAACACATACTAAACAGAGAAATGAAGTAAATATATATATATATATATCATAGATGTTTGTGATATAGGAAGTTAAGTAGTTTTGAAGTGAAATATCAGATCTGGAGCCGAAAATATCATGTTGGACAGAATTTCAGCATTTGAGATCCGGATATAATTAATTAAAATAAGAGGATACTTTTGTCTTTTATCATTTCTAGAGTAGAGCGGAGAACTGAGATCCACCGAATCCACCAAACAACTTCCCGTTGTTTTAAATAATTTTATTTTAAACTCCGTTTTTTTTACACTCCGCTTCTACCAACTTAAACAAACGGCGGGTGGTAACCAAACGAGCCCATAGACTACTTGCACTGCAACTTTAAATGAAAATGCCACTAATTACAAACCAGAATATTTGGAAAATTATTGACAGAAAAACAAATCTAAAATTGGCTGACAGCAAATCAGCAATGACAGCAAATCAGCAATGGTTAATGTTAATGGTGTGTACTGACTATTTGGGATTACAATGAGGTATATTATGTCTTAGTTTATAACTGTTTTGATTGTTACTGCCGACCACAAACTAAGAGCAACTAGCCAAAAAGGACGGATCTTACAAGATTATAAAAAAACTTAAGACCTAATGTTTATATGCTTTATTTTCCAGCTGTAATTCATTGCTTAATCCTGCATTCAATTCGGAAAATCTTTTGGGTTTTATTTGAGTCACTGGTACCATCCATCCCTATGTTTCATGAGATTGATCAAAGAGTGACTAACGAGGTTCCTCTAAGTAAAACTTACAGATATCTAGTTTATTGATGTAGACGTCCACCATTAGATGATATATGCATGACACATGAAAAGATATTTTTTCCAGTCTCAAGCCACTTCAATAGGTTCGGTTCCTTTCTACTAGATAAACTTCCTTCTTCCAAGATAAATGTTATAGATACAACTTCAACTTAACAATGAGCATTATAGATGTGGTTAATGAAGTCCAACTAAGGTGAATACTACATGGTGAGCTGTTTGCCCCTAGGGTATACACATGACTAGGCCCTCAAGTGAGGGTATAAAAGGAAAGGTGCAATAAAACTCATAAACATAATAAACTAATATATTAATAATAAATCTAATACAATGATAATCAAAAGTAAAGCAGTACAATCGTGGCCGTAGATCTACGGCCTCATCTCTGGTAGACTCTCCAAGGTCGGATGTCCTCATCAGTCACTCAACAAAGATAATTTATAATCAAGATTCCTAACTTTCAGCTCCAAATAGCAGGATTAACAGTATAAGACTAACATTGATGAAGAAAATCATGTATGCACGTATGCACTTATTTATGTATGTAGAGGGCTATGCCTTTTATGCATTAAACAAATATGTAAACATATATCTAAAATAAAGCGTATAGCAAATGAGTTATAAACAAAAATACCCCCAGTTATAGCCATCTTCATCTTGTATAGAAGTGATAATAGCTTGTTGCTGCTCAGAATCGGCAGGAAGTTTGGACATCATAACATCATCTGTTAAAAAAAAAACATAGAGCATTAGCGATACAATGCTCAGGAAAAAATGTATCCTCTAGTTTAAGCCACAAGAAAGGTGATTTGGACAAGTGGATGCCACTTCAAAAAATAGCAACACCAAATACCATCAACAATGGAAACTACACAAATACCCCGACCATATATAATTCCAGTTGTACATGGAGCACGAGTAAAGACTACTGGAGCAATCAATGATGGAGAGTTGTAGAGATATGTCTCCCTATGAAAGTCACAACTACAAGTAATCATTGTAGAATCACAAAGCCATCAACAGCAACAGCCATCATTTCATTATTCCAACTCTCAGTACCAGCTATTTGAATGGTTACCTGTAACATCTTCCTGCCTAGAGCGGCATTGGATGTTACTTTCATTTTAATAAAATGCTTCTAAATAAGTTCTAATCATGTAAGTTTTGGTCAATCCTATTTTCCTCCTGATCCCTTACATGTATATTCTAGGCCCCAGCATAATGGGTTATTTCCTTCAGCTGCACATGATCAACCCATCTCAATCTATCATCTATTACCTTAAAATCAATAGGTGTTTACCCTATTCTTGAATATAGTTAATTCTTCTACATCCCTAATTTTAAAAAAAAAAAAAAAACATTTCAAGATTCTCTAATCCTTCTGTACAAACAATTGCGTGTTTGTCTTCTTGTTTCCCAACTCTTCTAACAATTGCGTGTTTGTCTTCTTGTTTCCCAACTCTTCTAACTTCGTGGAATAATCATCTCCAATGGAAAAAAAAACATTTACATTCAATGGACCATAATGCGATACCAGGCTCTGAAAAGTACTCTGTTCTTGATAACCATGCTCATTAAGAAATTCAATCCAGAACTGACAGTGATATATATTCCAATACGATGGTAACCATTCTTCAGCAGTAATTTTATGTACTTCATCTGAATGCAGAGCTATGTATAGGTTCGTTTAAACAAAAAGTCAACTGAAAAAGACATCATCATTTTTACATCACATTAAATCCCACACATGCTTCAACAGCCACTTCTTCAACAGTCCACTATGGGCTGCCAAGAGATTGGCAACCACATAAGCTAAATTCAAAACCCAAACATCATGCTGTAGATAGCTTTTATGTTGTGTCCTGTTCATACCCCTGTATTGATTAGAACTTCATGTACTAGTCCGATTAATACCCCTGCAGTGGCTGAACAACCATTTCTTCCATTTGTCTTCTTTATCTACTCAATTAGACTCAACTGAACTCAAATTAGTTTAATTTGATGTGATTGACTCTATTCAACTCAAATCAAACCAAATCAACTTGGCTGACCTGAATTGATGTAATTAGACAACTCCATTCAACTCAAATCGAACTGAATCAACTTGGCTGACCTGAATTGATGTAATTAGACTTGATTCGACTCAAATTATTGAAATTAACTTCAAATCGAATAAATTAATCGATTAAATTGAATTGATTCAATTTAATAGATTCAAGCTAACTCAAGCAAAAGAAAAAAAAATGAATCGAATTTGAAACAATAAGTCAAATTAAATTAAATCGAAGATTTCAGGTGAAAATCGAGTTAAATTTTAAAATTGAGTCAAAAGTTATACAAGTAGCATACTGGTTAATGGTGCACCATAGCGCAAAGGTCCCATTGGAGCCATGGCGCGCATGTGGTGCTGATGAGGACATCGAAGATCAACGGCTATGATCATGTTTACTTATCTTGATGTATTTTATTTGTTATTTGTACTTTTCCCTTTCTACCCTCACTTGAGGGTTTTGTCTTATGTGGCCCTAGGGGCAATTATGTCTTTTATTTTTCCTTCATGTAATTGGCTATTTAAGCCTTCCCCTTCCTCTTGGAAAGGAGGATTATGGATAATGAAAAGTTTCATGTTTTTGTTGATCTCTTAGTGAGTTCATGATGGGAGAAGCCCGAGGAGGGTAATTCGCAATACCCGCCAATCTTTGGAAGAGTCCGAGGTTCGCGGTTCTTACGATCTCTTTGTGAGTTCGTTAGTTATCTCTATCTTTCTCGTATATTCTTGTTCTTCTCTTTTCTCCCCTCTTCATCCACAAAGTATTCCCCTAGCTCCATTGGCCTCAAAGGTTGAAACTATTGTTCTGAAGCCCCTTGCACCAGATTTCTTACCTTTGGAGAGCTCCTAACTGCTGTACAAGGATTACGGCTGCAAGACCTTGCTGTCCTGCAGTCCAGACAGGTTTCCAAAGTCAAAACAATTGCTGCCCAAGGATTCCTGCAGTCCCGGAAAATCCCTGCAGCCACCAACTGTTGTCCACGTTTGTGGAAAGTTAATCTTGGCGAAGTGAGAGGAGGTTCGTGGTTGCTGCCCTCTTCATTCCCAACTACCATACTACCTTGCAGGAGCGCGTATCTCTCTTGCCTTTGGGTAAAATCGACACTTGACTCTCTATCTTCATAGTTGCATCCTTGAATGTGAATTTATTATCTTCACGAAGATCATGTCAATTATTCGCCGCTAGAACCTAGTAATAGGAAGAGTTATGTGAGGGACCTTTCATAGACTAATCTTAGTGTTAGTATTGGAATTTATTGTTGGAACGATCCATGTATTCATGTAATTTAACTTAAGCTAAGTGCCTTTTAATATTTATCTTATCGTTCAATTCCGCATAAGAACTTGCCTATTATGGCCTCTAAATCTAAGCGTGCAAACTTTCATTAAGAAAATCATTTTCGCATGAGATTGTTTCACATCAGGTGCAAATAGCGCTTGCCATTTTGAACGGCTAAGCCATGCCATACACATGGCGCCGTAGGTGCACCGCGCCGCGTCGTGCGCCATGGCAAGCACTATTTTGCAATCAATGTTTCTTCATTTTTTTATTCGTGTATTTGTTTGTGAATGAGTTACCAAAAGTGAAGACAATTGGAGGATAAAGAAGCAAGATGAAAAATCTTGCTTCTTTAATATAGTCGAGGCTAAAGAAGCAAGATGAAAAAATCTTGTTGAGTTGATAGAGTCGAGCATCAAAGTTGGATGGTGAGGTTGAACGAAACAGTTTTTTAACTTAAAATTAGGGGTATCAAAATCGGGTTGCGGATCGGGTTCGGGTCGAACTCGAGATTGACCAATTACTGTATGACACGACCTGAACCCGACCCGTTTTTAGTTTTGACAGACGAGTCAGAAATTTCAACCCGGAACCGACCCGTTGTGTTTCTGGGTTGACCCGACACGAAACCACGATTACCTTTGGTCCTTCACATGAATGGGAAGTGAATGTCGTCGAAGGAGGGAGGACGTCGTCGAACGTCATCAACCCGACCCGACAGGAAGAAATGTCGTCGAGCGTCGTCGAAGGAGGTGAAGGTTGTCCAAGGAGGAAGGAACGTCGTCGGACGTCGTCGAAGGAGGTGAACATCAACGAAGGAGGAAGGAACGTCATTGAACGAGGAAGGCGGAAGGCTAAAGCGCGGTTAGGGCTCGCGAGCGTAAGCGGAACGGCTTAATCAGTAATATGACTGGCAAAGCGGGTCAAAACTAGGTCCAAATAGAGTTTCCGGGTTTACGTAAACTAGACCCGGAATTCAAAACAGGTCAAAAATCAGGACCCGAACCCAACCCAATCTTAAATCGGGTTGGCCCTAACCTAAAAAATTCGGGTCAGGTACAAGCCGAGTTTTCGTGTCGTGTTAATTGTTAACACTCCTACTTAAAATCATTGAGCATAAGGGCAATTAGGTGTCAGAGAAAGCATCAAAATCATGCTATGAAGAAGGCATGCGAGGCATAATCATGGTAGACACTCGCAAAAGGGAAAGCATGTCGCATGAGGATCATCGAGCGAAAGAAGAAAAGGATCCTAGCAATTTTTGGGAGAGGGAGCAAGTCCAAACATGGGCGAGACTATGAGAATGGGAGCACAAGAGCAAGCATTGCAAGAGCAAAACTTCGCTAGGGTGCCAGCCAAGCTATGAGAGAAAGAGAAGAAGAGCAAGCGTTGTCATGCGAGCCTAGAAAGCAGAGCTAGGGAGAGGAGGTCTCGCATGCTCTGTGCATCATGAGGGGAGAATGAGAGAAGCACGTGCCAAAATGAAAGCAGGAGCAAGAGAGAAAATGAGTAAGCACGAGAGAAAAAAATAAGAGAGGGTGAGCAAGCATCGTGTTGGGCTGAAAGCAAACATAAGCACACATTTACCTATGAACGAAACATCAACCGACAAGAAGTACAATCAACCAGAAAATCTCAAAGCTGACAGAATTTTGATTCAAGAAAGCAGAAGATAGGATGCAATAGCATGATGGTGCGTGAGAACAAAAAAAAACAAATGTAAATTCCACCAACCCGTATGTTTCCATTGGCTCTTGTCATCATCAACACCAGCAAATTGAAAGCATGGAAGCAAATGTAAATGGGTCAAACCAGCATTAGACAGTTTCTTCAGATGATTTATACCCAAGGAATCCTTGAAACAGAACAATATAAGTAATCAAATTCTAAGCAATTATTTTGTTAATTAATGCTCCACTGACAACGAAAATATAAGCATGGTACGGAGTGCATGAAAAGCATTAAGATTAAAATAAAGAAAGAACAAAGTAAAGAAAGAAAATGGATTTATGTAGATTCATACAGATCCACCAAATAAGAGTGCACTCACGAGACAAAATGTCCTACAAACAATGGCAATAAAGGTTAAAACATTGACTATTCTTTTACAATCTAGAGAAATAGTGAAATACTACACTTCACAAAGGAGAACATAAAAAAGTGTCGTGAGGCCAATAAAAACAAAGCTTTTCCATTGGTCCTGCAACAAGGTTTCCTCAAAGCCACATGCTTATGGGATTGCTTTTAGCAAAGGATGAAATTTTCAAAAGGATCATTTTTTAAAATTGTATTAGCAAAAGGAACTTAATAAAAATTTATTTTAAAAAGGAACATACCAGCTAACAGTGATAGCGTTCTCTAATAAAACTCAATAAGATTATGCGTTTTAAAGGAAAACGCATATAACAATAGCTTTTCACAGAAAACGCAAATGGATTTTGCGTTTTCATTGAAACAAGAATTTTTAAGAAATTTTTTTTGGGTTTTGAGCTTAGAGAGATGGAGAGAGAGAGCAGAAAGAAAAGGTAGAGAGAGAGACGGATAGAGATGCAGAGAAAGAAAAAGAGAGACCCAACTTTATTTTCAACTTTAAATTTTAATTAACTTTTAAATTTTTTAAAACCCAAATTTTAAAATAAAATTAAAAAGTCACTAAAAAATTTAAAATTTTAATGTTGAATATCAAGTTGCGCCTCTCTATCTCTCTGTATCTATCCGTCTCTCTCTACCTTTTCTCTTTGCTCTCTCTCTCTCCATCTCTTTAAGCTCAAAACCCAAAAAAAATTACTTAAAATTTTCTGCTTCAATGGAAAACACAAAATCCATCTGTGTTTTTGTTATGAAAATGCTATTGTCATTTGCGTTTTCCTTTAAAACGCAAAATCTTATTGTGTTTTATTAGAAAACGCTATCACTGTTAACTGCTATGATCCTTTTTAAAATAATTTTTTTTATTAAGTTCCTTTTGCTAATACAATTTTAAAGAATGATCCTTTTAAAAATTTTGCCTTTATTAAAGTGTAGCATTTCTAAAGAAAATTTGACGATTGTAGTCGTCACACACATTTCGATGCGTCGCAACGAGATTTAAGTGAAAAATTCAAGTTAACGAATTTCACCATAAATAATTTTATAAAATTCTACGTAAAATTCTGAACGATTTGATATATAGAACTTATAGCCAATTTCGCTTAAATTGGGAGATAAAAATTTTAGAAACCTCATAATACCAAAACTACCCCTAATCTTTTATTAATCTGAAATGTTTCAAGTGAGGGCATTATGGTCTTTTGGAATTTCCTATCTCCTAAAATAAGGAAAACCGAACCCTCCCCTCCCCCATTTGCATGGTTTGGCCGAGAGAAACGAAGAGGAGCGGACGGCTAGGGCAACGGCGGCTCCGGCGACGTTTTTCCGGCGAGAAAATTAGTGGAAATTTAAGAGAAAGATTGAGAGAGGAACAATGTATGTTTTATTTGAAGCAAAACTCTCTCTTTCTCAAGATTTTTGGAAAGGAAAAATCTAGGGTTTTTCCAAAAATGCTAGTTTCTTCCAAAATTCCTTTATGAAATCAATAGGGAATGAATAGGGAAGTGTTTTAACGATAGAAACAAAGTTTTCTTCAAGAATTTTTGAGAATTTAAAATTAGGGTTTTTACCTAAAATTTAAATTTCTTAAAGTGCATTCACAAAAGTGATTTCTATGGGTCTTAGGAATGTTTTAAAACAAAAGTTTGAGTTTTCTTAGGAAATAATTTTCTAATTAAATAATTTTGAAAATTAATTAACTTAATTATTAATTAGGTTTAGGAAAATGTTTAGCTTGATGATATGATGAAAACTGATTATTTATGGTTTCCTAAAATTTGGATTTTTAATAATTCTGAAAATAGAATTTTAATTATCTTAATTATTCAAAATACCTATGATTTATGCTTAGTCTATTTGTAATTATCCTTAGGCGTGGATTAAGGAGACGACACGTGTCTAAGCGACGTCGTGCATCGTAGTGGTTGTTGTTCGATACTTGTGAGATAGGTGGTTGCATTTAAATTAAGTTCGTGAATTTTAATTAAGTTAAGTTTTGCACTTTCAAAATTTCACATGCTAATAATGTTTATGTTTATGAATTTGCTTTAGTTTCTCGAGTATTTTATATTAATGACATGATATTAGAAATGTTAAAGTTGTTAAACAAAACTTAAGGCATAAGTGAAAAACATTGAAGAACATATGATTTTATGAATAACTTTAGTCTTTTTAATGTATATAAGTAAAATAAATTGCATGTGCATGATGATCCGAAGTACCAAATGTAATGGGATTCTACGGAGCCAAATGGTAATGGGATTCTACGGAGCCAAATAGTAATGGGATTCTTCGGAGCCAAATGGTCAAGGAATGGCCAATGACTGTGTACTTGATTAGTACAAAACTCTGGTACTTTCGGGACGGGTGCTTATTATTCATTATGATTATGAAATTTATGAATTCAAATGGAAAGATTTAAAGAAAGGAAAGTTTATGAAAAAGAAAGGAAAAAGGATTAAGGGAAATGTTTCAAGAAATGATTATGGAAATGTCTTATAATGTATTCCTATAAATGTTTATTATGATTTTTTTTATTGTTTCATTTTTATGTTTAATGACATGTTTAGGAAGAAAAATATTTCATGAATTTAAGATAAATATTTATCACCTATTGAGCGTTGGCTTATCCTATTATTGGAAATGTTTTTAAGGAGATAGTGTTAAGAAGTGATGACAACGAGACGACAGTACACCTACCGTCGTAGAGGATCTCAGGAAGAAAGGTTTTATATTTTATGTTGTGTATGAGTCAATAAATTGTAATGAGGAGTCTATTGGAGCTTATGTTTATGTTTATGTTTATGAATTTTAGTGGTTGTGGTTTAGAAGAACTTTATTGGATAAACTTTATGTTGATGGTTTAGTGGCTCTTTCATAAGTTGTTTGGATGACAGTTAAGTTTATGCCCTTTTATGAAGTGAATTGTTATCTTTTAATTGTTTTATACGTTTTTCCGTATGACTGTCTATTCCCGCCCTGTTAATTCGGGCTAGTCAGGCCAGGTCATGACAACATCAATTCAATGGACCGGCCATCACAATTCTGTGAATAGGAGACAAAGACTCAAGGGGCGGGTCGAAGTGGCAGAAAGAGGAGAGAGCAAGCGAAATAGAAGGAGATGGAAATGAGAGAGAAAGCAAAAGGGACATTACAAGAGACAACGATGGATCGAGACGGAGAGAAAGGAAGGGTGAAGAGGAAGCTCAAGCGGGCAAAGTTATCCATTCTAGAGAGGGGACTCGAGCTGCAAGCAATTAAAAGAAAAGATGAAGCAGTATGATCAAGATAGTAACCAAGCAAACGCAACCACATGCAAGGGTGAGCTATGAGGGTAAAGCATGGTTTAGAAGATGACTTAAACATTGATTTCAATTTGCAAATTAGACAATACCAATTTAGAATATTTATTATTTCATATTTATAAGCTTGGGCTAGTATTCTAATCACAAAAAATTTTGACAAAATTTTAAAGTGTATAAAAAGAGTAGATCAAGAAAAGGATATTGGTGATTGTGCAAAGAAAGAAGAACATTTAAGGTATGAATAAATTAGAAAATTTAAAGAATTTATTAAGAAAAATTTTGAAGGTTAAGAAATTGTTTTATTATATATACTATTTCATAGAATTAAAAGAAATATTTTAGGAATTGTTGGGAAATAAAGAATAAAGAAAGATGATTACTCTTTTGCAAATGTTGGCGAAGTGAACAAGGTACATATATAAAATAGAAACAAGAAAATTTATTTGAAAAAATTGAAAAATCAAAATGCTATTTGTATGAAAAATAGTGCTTTCAATATATGAACACTTGATTAGCATAAAATATTTTTGGCAATTTTGGAGTAAAGGATGATAGAGTGGGAGAAGAAAAAAGTGATTTACTAACTTGTGAATAATTGAGGTCCGTATTTAATTAGAAATTTAAAATCAATTGAATTAGTGGATCTTTATACCTTCATGAAATAAGAAATTAAAGTCGTTTGAAAAAGACAAATGAAATCAATTAACTAACAAGAACATCTCCTATATATAGATAATAGGTGACAAACTAGGGGAAGCAACATCTAAAAATTAATAGTTGAATTAAAAGTTAAGATCACTAATTCTATTTTTATTTTATGGTAATTTATGATTCTTATTTTAAATATGATGCAATGATTGGCATGTTCTTTCGTATACCATTGAATATTAATAAGTATTATTTATCGTTGTATGATTAAAAGAATGTCTTTCTTTCCTCACCTGAATGTCTTCATGTTATAAATGATGTTAAATGAACTTCATTTTAATTTCAACCTCATGCATTATCAATTAAGAAGTACACATATAAGATGAATGAAATTCATATAAGAAGAAAAGTATGTGCATATCAAATGAAGAAGTTCAACTCATTATGGTACTAGTTAAAGAAGTTGAGATACCCACACAAAAAATGGAAAAGACTTCAAAAAGGAAAATGAAAATGGTTGCATCTTAAATTGTATAAATTTTAGACAGTGTTCATGTGATGGGTGTTTTAGTGAAATGCTATGATATGATAATTTTTTTATAAAATGTCAAATTATAAAATGACAAATGTTCTTTATTTTTACTCAGTAAATTACAATTGTGAATGTTATAAATTTCTATTAAAATGAAATATTAATGATTACTTATAATAATCTGCATGCATTTTGTTTCTAATTTTAAAATTGTTGTTATATTGAACTATAACTACTCATTGAGTTAGTGTATGACTCAGCATTTGTTTAATATTCATTTCCATGAAAGGCTGCTCTTAACTAAATAGACGGCATAAGAGAATTCGAGTTCAGGAGAAGAGAAGCAAGAAAAGATACGTACTAAAGTAAAATTTTATTTTTGTTTTAATTTCTTTGTTTGAAATATATTAAACAAAAAAGATTTATAGATGGTTTAGGCATGAATAAAAATTTTGCTGTTTATTTGCTCTTTTATTTTAGAGGATATATTGGATTAATTTTTAGTATTAATAGAAAACAATGAAACTACCATCCGACCGTCTGTTCTCAACTTGATATTACAAGTTCTCAAGTTAAGCTGTGAAATACAATCAGCTACCAGTCGCCATGTGAAGCCATAGATAACGGCTAAAGTACTATAAAATTAGGGAGTTGTGTTGCACCAATGAGCGTAGGGCAATGGAAGAATAGCTTCAAAAAGAAAGTCACTTCACTACCAATTAAAGAGGAAATTACACAGGCAAGGAGTTTTTTAAGAATGATTACAATTAAAATATCAAGCCAGTGAGAAATTGATGAAACAAGCTCAACTATGTTTACCATTAACAGCTTGCATGCTTTCAACCTAGACAGAAAAAGTAGTCATGGTGGGATGAAAAACGAACATGTGAGAATCCCACAAAAGTCAAAATGTTGAAGATTTGACAAATTACCTGACAAGTAAAAGCAAGATAACCACCACGAAAATCAGGATCAACACTTTGATCGTTTTCACTGGAAAGACATTTAATAAATACATAAATTTCATATGGCTGATAAATATCCACAGAAGCAGAAAATGGCCGACCACACGTTAGAATACATGAAATCAACCTTATAGTTATCTTCCAAGAGAAAATTAAAGAAAAGTACCATGGATCTAATAATAAAAAATTAAACAAAATAAAAATAAAAAGCACCATGGATCCACAATATGCACCGGAAGTGATGAATATACTACAATCAACAACATATAGGAGCACGTAGCAAGAAATAGAATGATGATACAAAAAGGACAACAAAAATGAGCTAGCAATTATTCAATACTTAATAATACTTTTCTTTTAAATGTTGCTGAACAAAGAAACCCATGTTTATTATTGTACAAGGTAGAGAGAGATCATCAAACCTCCCTGAGTAACCCATGTTCCATTAGAAAGAAAATTCCTTAGAGTATATGATTGTTTGTTCGTAAATTACTAGATTTAAATCAAAAAAATTCTAAATTCGTTTTTTCTGTGAATTTCAGTACGACAGCAATTTTTTAAGTTCAGATTCAATATTAGTTAGACAATATCTCTAATTTTGTAAATCGCTTAATGTTATCATGTCAATGTGAAATCTCAGGTTTCCTAACATTTTATGCCGTTACTTTCTCTGTTTTAAAATAAAATTTTAAAATTTGAAGATAGCTTTTCTGGAAATTCGCAACTTTATGTCGTCCTACTCAACCTGGTCATTTTAACCTATAGTTGATTGTTCATACGAAGTAATAAATTTGAGCTATAAAACACATATTAAGTATTCACTAGATAATTTCTTTTTTTTTTTCTTAATCAGTTTTAAAATTCATATATTTTAAATGAATGTTTATGCTCAAGCAATGCGTGCAAATTCATATATCATTAATGGATATTTACGCTATAGCAATGTTTAGAATAAATTTTGAATGAACTCAAGTTTCATAGCATGAGCTGCTTAACTTTTGACCTAATGCCCCGTGCCCTTTGAGTTTTTTATTCACTCGAAGGAGCAATTTCACAGGGTCCGAATTGCAGCCCCTCTCCAGCCTTTGTTCTTCCTCCCACAACGCTATTACCTGCACAAGTCAGGATCCCCTGCTCGCAACAGTGTTACCTGCACGAGTCGTGATCCCCTACAGCCCTACCCACGAGCTGTTCATGCATGATCGAGCCGGCCATTGAGGCGTCATCTGATCATCGTTATTCTCGCCTCTCTAATTGGAAAGGTAAGAAAAAGATGAGGAATTCCTTTTTTTTTCCTTTGATTTTTAATTTGAGTGGGTTTACTTGTGGATGTTCTGTAAATGAATCTCAAATCATAGTTTATATATGAATGACATCAAATCATAGCTTATATGTGAATTATTGTCATTCTTTGTTAGGTTAAACTTGTTGTGTTTTTTATTTTTTTATTTTTTTTTATTTAGTTTTTTTATCATTGTTAATGCCAAGTCCCAAGTTCTACATGAGAAAAGTTGAGCGTTGCGTTAAGTAGTCGACAGTCAACCTAAAACTTTCTAAATAATCATGACATAAATCCTTTAATATATTATGCTAATACTAGGGCGTTCCCTGAAAATAGCACGTTGTATGGCCTGAATACAATGAGAAGTGTGCAAGGGACACTGCATTTGCGCACAGGTATAGTGTTAAATAGGCAATGGTTCCCACATCATGAATGGATGTAAGCAAAGAAAATAATCCATGAAACTAGAATTATGTGAATGACATATTTTGCTAAAAAATTTAATGAAGATTGTGAAAATACAATTGACTTTAGCGACCTTAGTCTAAATAAAAAAAGAGGTTTTTGTTTATATTGGCATATTAGTAAAATTAAAGTTAGAGAGGCTTTAAAAAAATGAAATGTGGAAAACTATTGGACCTGATGATATTCCAATAAAAGTGATGAAATGCTTAAGAGATGAAGGAATTTCTTAGCTTACTAAACTTTTTAATATTATTTTAAAGACTAAAAAGATGTCAGATGACGGAGAATGAGTGTGTTAATTCTTATTTTTAAGAATAAAGGTGATGCACAATATTGTGCGACAAATTATAGAGGATATAAGTTGATGTGTAATACTTTAAAACTATGGAAGAAAGTTGAAATAACCCGTATAGTTACTCTGTCATTTTTTTATTCGATATAAGTCCAAATCGCAAACCGTCTTTGCCATAGCATTGATATTATATAAATTTCCTTGCAAGATTTTCCTTAAGAAATTGACACTTATCGGTACAAGTGAGAATTTTGAGACCGGCAGTTGTCCATTTGAAAACTAATTTCACTAATATTTTCTAAATAAAATGATTTATTTAATAAATATTTTTCTATAATTTTTAAAGTCCCAAATAAATTTATATGAATTTTCTACTGAACATTGAACAAATTAAATAATTGTATTAATATTATATATTATTTTATTATAAAATATCTTAAAGCATTATTATATCTCATTAAACCCTTTTTCCCCTTAATTCATTTCGGCAACAAAGGCTTGTAAGAGGAATTTAGTGGAAAATGAGGAGAGCGAAAAAGAAAGCTAGGATTTGGAGACCGTTGAGTGATTTTCGTCAATCGGGCTTGTTGGAAGATTTGCTCGTCTCACTGCAATGAACCTTTAGCATATGTCCAATTTCATATGTTTTTGAGATTTTTTTGGTCAAATTTGTGTTTACTCTACAAAAAAATAAGGATAATTTTGTATTAATAAAATTTTAGCAACATAAATTTTTATATGTTAAAGAGATTGAGGTTATGAAGATTTTAAGTATTTATTTGAGATTTTTCATCAGATGATTCTAAAAACACAACAATTTTTATCTAATCAGGACTTTATTTTAACGTTTAAAAATAATGATTTAGTTCAACAAAAGATTCAGAATGTTATTTTTTTCAATATTTGCTAATTTGATTAAATTCTAAAAATGTGATTTTTTTCTCAATATATTTTTTGTTGTCTACCGTTAGGACATCTTGGCACTTTCTAAATTAAGCTCAATTATGATTTATTTATTGCAATGCATTAAAAATGAATGTGAATATGTTATTGAGTAATAGTTGGTCGTTATTACTGTTATAATAATGTGATAATAATGTGTGTGCAAAAGACAAGTAAAGACTACTTGACCAGTTGGTTGGAGATTGATTGACTTATACACGATGGTGGGCCAACGGAGACTTTCCTTTAAATAATATGGTTTGGTGTTATCCTCTACTGATTCACGTGATACACTGATTGGGAGTTATAAGGAAATAATTATTGTGCCGACGGGCAATGAGTGACGACTCTGTTTACTGAGCCAATGGTTTATTGATACTGACACCGATATTGAAAAATATTGTGATAGCCATAATTCTTACTTGTTTAGTGTGACTACTGAAATGAATGTTATTGAGGCATTGTTCATATTACAGTATGGATTTATTATTAACATTGTTAATAATTTATTGATACAAAAATCATGATATATTCATTGAGCATGTGATATACATGATATATTGAGCATGTAATTAAGATATTGATTAATACTATATAGAATAACTTGATAGCATATATACATTCATATATGATTTTAATACATTGATTTGATTTTGATAGCCTTTACTGATATTTTAATTTGATGTTTTATGTGATTCTTTACTGATTGGTATTAAGGATACGACGATTTCTTTATAGATTTCACACTTATACTAGTTTACTGCTCTACTGGCTTCTGTACCGTAGTGTTTTACTGTTTATAGATTCTACTACTATTGCATGTGATTTTTACTGTTTTTATATTGATTCAATGATCAAATGAATGTTATTGTTATGATCTGATCTCTGATATGCATATTGCTCATTTTTTTATGCATATTGATCATTTATCGTGCTTTGAATTCAGTTGTAGTTTTAGTGACCTACTGAATTTTTAGCTCATTATATGTGGTTAAATGATTTCAGGTCATGATAAAAGATCAGGAGTGTGAGATTGACCCAAATTACTCAGGTTTTGTTTATTTTTGTTTTAGTTATTCTTTTGTACTCATGATAGAGTAGTTGTGATATGATTGTATAGATATTGAATAGTGTATGTGATTTTTGGAAAATGAATACATACGTATATATAGATGTTTTGAATTCTAGAATTATTTTTGTTGCTTATTTCAGATAAATAAAATTAGATAGCTCTAGTTGTTTTATTAAAAGAATAATTCTTCCAATTTAAATTCTAGGGCATCAAAAGAGTTATGGAGCATAAGTTACGTCGTGATACTAATGTTTCTCAAAATCAATTTGGATTAATGACGGGTAGGTCTACTATGTAAGCTATCTATTTATTGAGAGTTTTGATGGAGAAGTATAGAGAGAATAAGGAGGATCTACATATGATTTTTATTGATTTAGAGAAAGCATATGATAAAGTTCCAAGAGAAGTGTTATGGAGAGTTCTAGAAAAGAAAGGAATAAATAATGCTTATATTCAATTCATTAAGGATATGTATGCAAGAGTTGTTACATGTGTTCAAACACAAGGTGATTTAACCAAGTATTTTCCTATTGCAATTGAATTACATCAAGGATCAGCCTTAAGCCCATATCTTTTTGCTTTAGTCATGGATGTTCTTACTTTTTACTAGACATTTACAAGAGGATGTACCCTGGTGTATGCTTTTTGCTGATGATATTCTTTTTGTTGATAAGACTAGAGAGGGAGTTGAAGGTAAACTTGAATTATGGAGGTCAACTTTTGAGTATAAATGTTTTCATTTGAGAAGATCTAAAATCAAATACATATAGTGTAATTTTAGTAGTAATAGAAAAAGTGGTGGGTTTGTGACTATAAACGATCAAGTTATTAATAAGAGTACATGTTTTAGATATATTAGATTTATTGTTTAGAGTGATAATGAAATAGATGGATATTATTAGTAGAATTCAAGTTGGTTGGTTGAAGTGGAAGAATGCATCATGCTTATTTTATAATAAAAAAGTATCACTCAAACTTAAGGGAGAATTCTATCAGATGGTGGTGAGACCTGCAATGCTTTATGGCGCAAAATATTGGCCATTAAAAGAGAAGTATAATATTAAAGTAAGTGTTGCAGTGATGAGAATGCTCAGGTGGATGAATGGCTTTACTCTTAGAGACAATATACGAAACGAGCATATACGTGAAAAGATTGGTGTAGCTCCAGTGGCAGATAAGATCGATTAGAGAGAGTCATCTTAGATGGTTTTGTCACAAAAAAGCGGCCTTCCGATGACCCTGTAAGGAGAGTAGATGTATTAGATTTAGCCTATGTTAAGAAAGATAGAAGTAAAGTAGTAAACCTAAAAAGACTTGGCTAGAAAATATTAGAAATAACATTTCTTTATTAGATTTAAATGAAAATTTGACTCTTAACATGACACAATGGAGAAAAAGGATTCATGTAGCCGACTCCATATAGTGGGATAAAAGTTTGATATGTTAGTATTTAATTTTTTATATAATGAGTTTGCCCACCCTCAAAAATAAGACTGGATCCGCCCTTGTTTGGACAATTGAATTAGGTATAATACATTCATAACATAAGAATATGAAATATACATGCGAGGAATGCTTTGCTTAGAAAAAATGGTGCTTGGTTTTGTCCTCGTCTTTTAGAGCTGAAGATACCCTTTTCACTTGGCTTCATGTGATGCGCTTTGAAAGGATGGACTGACATATCTAAGATGATATTTCATCATCCAAACTACACCAACCATAGATCAAGCTAAACCTTAAGCAGTTACACCATGAAATTGAACAAGATGAGGAATACTGGCAACAGTTACTTTTACATTTAAAACGATGGCTCTATGGGTTATATTAAAATAATAGAGCACATCACTGCAATAAACAACTAGCATGCAATCAGAAAAGACAAATACAATTGATTAAACCTGAAATCCCGAATGTGCAACTCATAGATGCTGATGTCAGAGAATGAAGGAAGATCTGGTTTTTCATATGCCAAGTCATCCCAGCCGGATGGCTTCAGATCCTCGGAATTAAGATCAACCAATAAAGTACGACTCCCATTCGATGAAATTCTATTCCAACGTAAATGAAAACATGGCATCATTCTGAATATCTCATAAAATGCCTAATGAAGAAATCTAAGGTGATGTTCAACAGCATATCTGCGTACCCTCTAGCATACGGATCACTAACAGTGTAGGTCTCAACTCTTACGGTGCTCTGATGGTAGACTGAAATCTGATATAAATAATAGCAGCCTTCCCAACTTCTGGGTCCAACAGCACACCATACACCATCTTGATCTTTAAGATGAATACACTCGAATGGATCCCCGGCTGATGGGCACTTATAAAGCAGAGCATGAACAACCTATTTTGAATATAACTATGAGAAAAGCAACCTAAAGCAGAATGAAAAGAGATTAATGGGTGAGTAATAAAGAAGCATACTTGCGCTGTTGGAGCCCAGAGATTAAGTGTGATAGATCTTTTGCTAAAAATAGCCCCAAGAGGGCCATCATAAGCAAACAAGTCATCTAAAACACCAGGTAGTTGTATGCCGGTGACATCGCTGCATTTTCCATCATCTGCATGCTTTTGATGAAATATAATCAGATCAACTAGTGTGTCTGACAATCAGTGAGACAGCACACATATCCCATGTCACTCAAGGATTAGCACTGCTAGAATTAAGCAAGCTGCATTTGTTTTAATTTTCAAATAAAATAGTGTGTGTGTGTGTGTGTATATATATATATATATAGAAAAAATCAATGATGGTCAGAGTGTTAGGTTCATCAATGACATCACTAAAATGGATTTTAGATATGAAACCTAAAGCTTTATATGCACTGAATGTGTATGCAAAAGCTATGCGGGTTTGGCAGATAAGATAATATACAAAAAAGAAACGTTTCAAACGGTTTTGGTTTGCCACATGCTCTCAACTATTTGAGCTCTAAATATGGCATGCAAGCAGGCAGAAATGCTTCAATTTAAGTAAGCATAATTACTCAGGTGCTAATCATAGTGTTTTTCTAACAGTGCAAATTATTTATTAGAAAACAAATATAGCTCAAAGCCATAACAGGAAAAATTAAAACAGCTTGGTGTGGAATGGTCTGGCTTCTCATATGATCAGTCAGGGCTCAAAAATGAGGCGTTGACTAATTCTCGTTAAATGGGAGAGGAAACTCCACTTTTTATCAAAAAAAAAATAAACAAACAAAAGAAGACTACATGGTACCATATTTTTTCTAATATCTTTGTTTATAGTATATTTACCTGCGAACTTATAAGAATTTGGATTGATTACTTCAAATAAAAATTCTACAAAACATAATCAAGGCACTAATTTGCCACCAAAATATCAAAATCGAAAGTTTCAGTTATCTTTTTGGACAAATTAACATTTACGTATTTGGCAAGCCAACTGAAGAGCCCTTCATTGACTAAGCTTTTGATCTTGGAAGTTTCAACAAAAACGGCATCATTGTTACTTAATTGTTAGATTTAAAAGAGAAGCATAATATTAAGTTAAGTGTAGCAAAGATGAGGATGCTCAGCTGGATGAGTGGGTTTACTCTTAGAGAAAGGATTCGAAACGAGCATATATGTGAAAAGGTTGAAGTAGCTCTAGTGGAAGATAAGATTAGAGAGTGTCACCTTAAATGGTTTGGTCACATAAAATGGAGGCCTTCTGATGACCCGGTTAGGAGAGTAGATGTATTATATTTGGCTTTTATTAAGAAAGGTAGAGGTATATCTAAAAAGACTTGGTTATAAATATTAGAAATGACCATTCTGTATTAGATTTAAATGAGAATTTGACCCTTAACAAGATATATGGAGAAAAAATGATTCATGTAGTAGACTCCACTTAGTGGGATAAAGGATTGATGTTGTTGTTGTTGGTTCTCTCTATGTCTTATCCTCCTCTTTAAGGCTAGAACTTCTGCTAAGAAATTGATCGAGTTTGAGTCAATTTGATTTTACTCAAAAAATTTGGAGTCAAGTTATGAATAAGTAGCTTAGCTGGAACAAATTTCTTGTCAATTTCAAGTCATGCTACATTTAGATATAATTCAAGCTTACTCAAGTTTATATATTATATTAACTTTTATGCACATTTATGCTTTCAGGCCTTAGCAGGTGACTTGATGGTTAAATTCTAATTTTAACGCATATGGTAGAGATTCAAATCACTCTTCATATAACCACGCATTTCTGTTTTAGTTTTAAATTCAATCACGATTAATTCAACTCAATTCAAACTCATTTCTAGTTTACTCAAAATCTAGTCTTTTAGAGTCAATCCAAACTCGATTTGAAAAGCATTTTGATTTTAAGGCAAGTTCGAGTTGCCCTCGATCTGTTTATTTCGAGTTTAGAGTCCAATCCAACCCCCTTGAGCTCAATTAAATGTCCCTGGCACTCACCACTAAAATCCATCCATCAATTTTTACATTATTGAAGCCACTGCATCACAGGAATAATTTTATGCTGTCATATAGTGGCTAATATCTCAACATCTTCTTTCCTTGTAAAAGAAGAGGGAAGTGGATTTTGAGCATCAAGGATTTCTTATTGTTTCTACTACTAAAGCTGACATCTCATCAAAGAGAAGACGGGAAAATAAGTAAGCGAAAGCTAGCATGTGGAAGTAGTTCAAAAAACATGTGTGTAGCTAGAAAATATTGATATATGCGAGAGTAACATAACAAAGAGAAAAAAAATCCAGTAGCGAAGATACAATTCCATCAAAATAACTTCCACCACTTCATTTACACAAATAATTGGACATATGGCTCCTGACAGCTGTCATCATCTCTAGTGTACGTACCTACAAGCAAGAGTTAACATGCACCTCCACCTCCGGACATAATAAACAATATAAAACAGGATATAAAAATATATCAAAAGCAAGAAAGTGCATGTGTTATCATGAATAACCATTGAAAGGATAATTCATTGCAGTTGATTCAAAAAGTGGGTAGCATCAAATCACCAAAAAAAATTGGCAATCATCCAATAAGTACAAATTAAGGGAGTACGAAATGATTGCCTGCAAGAAGCATCAATGAAACAATGGCAAAAGAAGTATAACAATACAAGTCAGTCTTATCACAGTGAGAAAATATTAATATCAAACCAGTTAAAAAAAAATTTAAGGATTGCCTTCACTAATTAGTGCTAAAAAAGAGCAAAAAATATACATAAATGTTAATCAACCACCTGTAGAAGAACTAATGCTTCGTTTGGGACTGTTTTCTTACTGCTTCTTAAAGCAGCTTTTTAGTACAAATATTTAAGCTGTTTTAAGAAGCTGTAAGAAAGCCGTTCCAAACGAAGCCTAAATCTCAAAAAATAGATGGCCACACTTCAGCAAGTTTGCGTAAGACAACACCAGAAAACACAATGTCTTGCAAAACTGAAGATGTCCTGAACATGCATTCTTGACAAGAAGCATTATTTCACGAGCAATGAATTTAAAGAGAGGCTTTAATTTATAAACATCCTTCCCAATCACACCAATGAGTTCCCAACACCCACCACCACTGCCAAAATAAAAACGCTCAAGAAAGGCCTCATTATGGGAATAAAAATAACTTGAAAAGTTCAATGCCATCTACCCATTTTACCTGTAGATTATTTCTTCACAAATAAATTAGTACATTAGGAGTAATTATTGTGTCCGGACACCGAACGCGTCCAGAGACCAATAAGAAAGTGCCACGTCACTTGGGCGCTCGGTACCGTGCTCGATACAGCACTTGGTAACGCTCGGTATTTGTCTGTATTTCCGTTTTTTTGTTCGGACGTAATAACTTTTCATACATGAGGGTCTCAATGCATGAAATTGAAATGTTTAAAACATTTCTTACCTCCAAAAGAGGCAATTGCAAGCTGACATTTCAAAATCTTTCTGAAGTCCACAGAGGCAGGAACAGTATAGGCTTTGTAATCTCTAATATGAGGAAACTTTTCAAGCACCTGATAGGCATAATAGAGCAGAGGCATGTATCATGAAATGGAAATGTATTTGGATAGTTAAAGGGTGGGTACAATCAAATAAGAAAGCAACAGTATCCTAGATTACATAGAAACTTAAGACGAGTGCAATCTCTACTAATACAAATAATAAAAATATAACCTTAGATATCATTAGCTTACTTTGCTTGGAAGCCCGAATCTTTCCCATTCAAGCGGAATCTTAAAATCCTCGCCTAATGAGGAAGAAAAGGACAATAGTGAGTATGATAACTCAAAACAGTGTAGGCCACACAGCATATATGTGGTCAAATTGCTTTGGGTGCCAATTCAGGATGATAAATACAGCAACAAATTGACATGGAAGCAAAACAAGATGGATTGAGAAACAAATATTGTTTCAATATCATTAAGAAATCTCATTCAGGCTCCTGTAGCATACTCAAGATGAAATACAGAAATGATTTTCATCTACATTGTAGTGATATATGACTGTAAGTGCTATCTAATAATTGTAACTTATGATTCAGTGTTATTGTTAATAAATATCAGTCTTTTTTAGACTGAAAAAGCTTGCTTCTGTTTTTTTCTTAGTTATTTCACTCATGAAGATAGCAATTTTTAGACATCAACAAAATCAGCAATCATAGGTTAAAACTGACATGTAACTACAATCTAAATATATGAGCGAGTAAAACAAGTAACATTTGTTATAAATGTAATAACACACAAAATGATCATGAAAACAACAGCAAATCATCTTATTCAATTTTTCCAATGTAAACTTAGTCTGATATCTCACAGTATCAACATTCCACAAATGTTCTTTCAACAGTACAGGCAATCCACTCCATAGACCTTCCGATTCAAGAAAATAATTTTTTTTTTTTCAATTTGATGGCAATGCATAGCAGACACGAAATAATCACAACAAAATTTTCGAACTTATTTTTCCCCATTGTCAACATTCAGTTCTGCAGTATCTATGACCTTCAAGACCACGATCTGTCAGGCACAATTTGGCCTCCCAACTGGCATAAAGGCATACGGAGGCAACATCGCTGCTAGTGTTCCAGGCAATGAGAGACTTCAGCACCCAAAATGCCTTCTCATTCGATAAGCAGGCCTGCGAAATTATCGTTTAAAGAGCGGAAAAGCTTTTTATTAGTGCTCCAATCAGTCAGGTATAGGATCAGACACGCCACCCTTATTCAAAAGAAACAAATAACAGAGCTGAAGGCATTATACCTGCGATAGAACCCGCTGATCGGTCGAAGAGTTCGGCATGGACGAGCAGCGAGGAATAGTCCGGCGGCAGTTTCGTGGTCCCCGGCGAGCTCCAGGAAAAGAGAAAAGAACAGGAAGAGATGGACGATAAGAGAGATTAGGGTTTTCGAAGGGTACGGGCTGGCGAGATGTCGAAAGCGGACGAGGAAATGGAGTCTGGCGAAGCGGAGGAAGTGAGATCGGTGAAGCTAAGCATACTAATGGCGGCATTCTCGTTCGATAGAGCTCGGCGCAAGACGGATCTCTTTAGTATTCATCCAGCTATGGCCTGGGTAACTGGGTTTGGCGCTCGGTCAGGAAAACAATTGTCCATGTATTGTGAAAATTACTTGGAGGTTAAAAATTTACAAATTCTCTAAATGAAGCACGAATTTTAAGACAATTTTAATAATTTTTACTGTGATTTAAACCCAATTTTTTCCCTATGAGACCGGATGTAGAACGTCATCCGGAGATCAACCAGAATGCACCGTGTCAAAGGTATCGAGCAGTATCAAGCCGCGGTACCGAGCATAAAGGTGATGTGGCACATTCTAATTGGTCTCCGGACGACATTCGACATCCGACATCCGCACAAAATAATTAATCCTTAAATTCAATTCTAATCGACAGAACATTTTTACTTTCTATGCATTAAATATCTCAATTGGTTGTTTTTTTTTTACATTTTTTACTGTTTATTAAAATCTCCCGTGAAAGAAATTAGTTCGAATTTGTTCAAATTCAAATTTTTATTCCAATTATATTAAAACACAATTCGATTATTTGTTCAAACCAAGATTTGAGTTTATTTGTCTGTGAAGCCTTCCCTGGGGAGCTCCATGCCGTCTAATCTAAGGTGCCAGTCGTAGTGAGCTTAACGCCACCAATTATGAATTATGGAATGTCTTTCCTTTGAGAGATTATTACGTGCGGAGTCTGGACAAAGATAATCGTTCAATTTTGTGACTGTGAACAATAAAAACGAATCTCACTAAATGCCAACCAAGCTAGCATCTCATGATGCCTTGAGAGCAACGAGCTATAAAATACCAGTATCATTGAGGAGGAAGTGATTATTGTCTTTTATGTTCGCACCCTTTAATGATTGTCGAGCTCAATGCCGAATGACTGCGAGTGAAGTTTGACATTGGTGATGATTTGTTGTTCGAGCTTCTTTAGAAGGCTAGTCTCCAAATTTGCTAAAGGATGACATTGGTGAATTGAGGCTCTGAGTTGAATAAACTTTACTCAAAATTGAATCAAAATCATTTTGACACACAACTCATGGTATTATTTTCATTCAAACTTGAACCATAACATACTCAAAATAACTCAATTAAATGGGTTATAAAATATAATGATATTTAACTTATCACATAATGTTCAATCTCCTAATGTTAAAAAAATAATAATCTCGAAAAAGAAAATAGAAATTTGCTTTTACAAAACTATATAACTGACCAACCGATGCTTAGCTTGGTTGGTGGACGAGTATAGTTGGGAGCCTCCAAACCCGTACTCGATTCCCCTCGAGCGGCATCATATCTTAAGTGGGGCTCAATCAAGTGCGGACCAGGAGGTTTCTGGGGTATGTGCCTCTTATAGGTCAGCAGAGGATTAGTCACGCCTCCAAGCACCATTTCGGAGGTAGCATCGGGTGGATACCCTGTTCCCGAAGAAAAAAAAAACTATATAATTGTAATTCAAGTTGATTATAATCTAATGCTGTGTAAGTCATCCTCTACTCACAATCGGCTCAATTTCTTCATAATTTGACACGGGACCTCTTTGAAATAACCCATATATCCCTTTTTTTTTTTTTGAAAATGTAGACCAATTGAGACAAATTCACACGCACATCACATACATAAGACTCAAATCCAATACATCTTTATTACTAGCCAAAACTCCTAATCAACAGATCAAAATGTAATATGTAACCCATATATCTCAAGTCGAACAGTATTATTATCACTAAATAGTAAATACAATTAAAACCTTTAAAACAATTGCAGTGAAACTTCTCTCTGTGTGAGTGAGAGCGAGCTAATGCTTAAGCACCTTAAAGTTTCAAGGTCACAATCTTTATTTTAAAAGTATACAAAATATGGTTGGCAAGTGGATATGTATTAGATGCAGGTGGGACATAGCAGCAAGCAGAAACCACCAAAAAAATAAAGTTTATGTCATGATATATGGATCAAGTTCTCATGAAAATATTTTTAAAATTATGTCACAATATATAAATTTTTCTCAACTTTGAGTGGGCTTAATTAATCTTTATTTAGCTTGGCTTGTTAAATAAATGAGTGACTATTGAGTAGAATAATATTTCATCTGGGACAGCTTTTTTACTGCTGCTTAAAGCAGCTTTTTAATTTTTGTACTAGAAAGATGCTTTAAGAAGCAGTAAGAAACCCGTCTCAAACGAATAAGACTAAGGCTTCGTTTGAAACAGCTTTCTCATAACTTTTTAAAACAAATTTCAGACATTAAAATTTGTACTTTAAAAATTTATAATTTAGTTTGGTTGGTGGGCGAGTACGGTTGGGAACCCCTCAACTTGTACTCGGTTCCCCTCGAGCAGCAGCACCTCTTAAGTGGGGCCCAATCAAGTGCAGGCCATGAGGTTTCTGGGGTGAGTGCCTCTTATAGATCAGTCTATGATTAGTCACACTGTCAAGCACCCTTTCGAGGGGGGGCAGCGGGCCGGGTGGATACCCCGTTCAAAAAAAAAAAATAAAAAAATCATCTCAAACGAAGCCTAAGAGTTATTCCATAACATAAAGTTACATACAACAAGTTATAGAATATTCATATTGCCACGCATATACACATATATTCATACAAAAACAAACATAAGCATGATTTAGGAATATGAATATAAATAACATATATATATCTATATTTGACTTATTAAATATACAAATTTATAAAAAAAAATTATGGAATTCAAGCTAATTATCGAGCATAACATGATCAAACATGAATGCCCAATTTTTCTTAGAACCCTAGCGGTATGGTTGGAGTGGATCAATGAGCAGATGATTAAGAGTACTGGAGTGGAGAGCTTGTTGACTGGTGGGAGTAGGTTTTATGTCATTTTCATTAGAGTTCTGAATACCCACTTGAGATTTCCATTGCCATCAACAGCAAAGCAACCGATATTAGTTGTAACTTCCAAGTAGTACTAATCTGTAGCTGCATTAGTTTTAGTCATAGTAAGATGCCGATTGATATAGTTTCTTTATAGGTTTTCAGCCTCTTTTTTCTTAGAATATAAATAAAATATGTATTTTGGGTTTAAAAATTATGAGAAATTTACAATTTTAGTCATATAAAAAGCTTAATGAAAATTTCTTAGAAATATAATTTAGATAGTTAATTTATAAAATCATTTCAAATAACAATCTTAGGATCTATTCGGGATAGTTTTCTTATTGTTTCTATTTTCATATCACAATTACAAGGCAAATTATTAGGTGCGGACTCCGGATGGGGAGAACCGTCCTGTTTTCTCTCTGTATACATTGAAAGCGCAGTCAAAGCGCAGCTGCTACAGTAGTTGTGCTTGTGTTGTACATACATAGAGAAAACCAAACGGTTCTCTTTGTCCGGTGTCCGCATCTAATAATTTCTCCAACTATAAATTCTATTTGGCTACTACTTTCTCGTTGTTTTTCATCATAACAGCTTAATTTTCAATCATCTTTGCAGAAACTGCAGCCTCTCACACAAACCGTTAATAAAAATAACTCCAATAAATATTGGATTCACCAGACATCACTAGCACACTTAAGAACTGTCCAATATAGAAATGTCAAATGGAGCTAAGTCAAATGCTGCATCACTGCCGGCCATTGTAAACCGCAAGAAAGGCTTGCTGCTGATGTAATGATGTTTGCTTCGTGGTTGTCAAGATGAGCATCACATAAGAATTTATCTATTATGTTCCATTTCCTGTGATCCTTATTTGAAGTAATTGAGAGCGAGGAAATGGAAAATAAATGGTCTCTGATGTCAAAATTATCTTTACTTGTACCTTCTGCTCAGTTCTTACATGCCTAAGATTGAAGATAATCCAGTTTTCTAAGTTACAATTTGCAGCAGATAACATAACAAAGTGCTTCAAGAGACAAAAAAAGACATAAAACGAATAAAGAAAGGAGTTATTGGGAAGGAGAGATTATTCCGTGCGGATACCGTATGGGAGAACGGTCTGGTACCGCTTGGTACCGGCGCTCAGTACTGCTTGGTATGAGTGCGGTTCACTTTTGAGGTGATGTGGCATATTTTTATTGGCCTCTGGACGACGTCTGAATTCCGCGTATAATAATTTTTTTTATTGGGAACCCCCAACAACTGCCAAGTCTTCCAGGTTACTTTTCTTCATCCAGAAACTGAAGAACATTTTTGGGAGCTATATGTATATATTTTTTATTCCAGATTCTGTCTTGTGAAGCTGGAGACCTTTTGTTGTACTTGTTTGGCAACTTGGCGTGAGTGGCTTTCAAGTCACTGCCATCTTCATAGTTGACGTAAAGAGTAGGCCAAATATTCTACGAGGGACTTCACTGTCCAGCCTTCATAATTTATTGCTTGAGCAACATTTTCTAAGTTTCTTTTTTTTGTTTTTAAGAAAAAAAAAAAATCCATTGATATTTAAAGCTATGAGACATTTGCATTTTTGTTATGATAAAAAATAATTAGTGCATCACTTCCACAAAAGAATTGTTGGGTGATATTAAAAAAGGTTCAAACTTCAAAGTATATTAATGGTAATTTGATGTTATATGAATATTTTATTTCGGTTGATAAGTTATGTAATTAAGCTTTTATTTGAGGAGAGATTATTCTGTACGTTGCTCGAACACGTTAGGAGGCCAATCCAGACAAGCCATATTATCTGGATTGGGTGATGTGGCGCATCCGGATTGGCCTCCGGCCGGATGCATCCGGACACCGTACATAATAATTTTTCTCATTTGAGGTAGCTTTCTTACTGTGTTGCTTTTCAGACTAAAATCTCATTTTCTATTTGATCTTTATTTTGTCATTAATTTCAATAAATTTTTGTGTTATGAAATTATTTTTTGCAGCAAAATTCAAAAAATTAATTTCTTAACAACTTTATAAGTATCATCATAAAAAGCTACATTCGTCTCAAACGAACCCTAAGATTATATTTGGAACATGTTTTTGATGAATTTCGTGCAAAAAAAGTAGAAATTAATGTGTTTATGAAAGACAAATTTATTTTTTTTTTACTATTTTTCAAAAAATTGTCTTTAAAAGGCTGTTTTTTAAAAAA